TTATGCTTTCAATATGTTTCCAGGCGGTAGTACCTCCCTGTTTGGTAGCTGCCTGATGAATAAGTCCTGAGTTGTATATAGATTTTCTTTGTTATTTTTCCTTATAAATATATTTTGTTTTAATTTATGTATTTTGATAATACCCAGTAATGTGGTAGGTAGGGCGTGCCTCGGTGTCCGCTCCGAACACACTTGTCTACTGCTATAAAAAAATACATAATAAAGATAAGGACTAATTTATTGCTAGAAACATATGCTGATGTGTATTTTTACAGAAATCTACAGGACTTATCCTGTGCAAGGACACGGTGTGGGGTATATAAGTAATATTTTTACTTTTATCCTCTTCACCACTGATCGGCTCATTAGCGCTTGGACGATCGGTCACGTCTCTGTTACGCACTGTTGGCAAGTACTGGGCATGCACCGGCTCCTGAATGTATCTGAACCTGCTCCAGTGCTTGTTAAGTCTGATCTTGAAAGAGCTCACACTTGGTGCCGTCACAACACTCTCTGGCAGATTGTTCCAAGAGTTCACAACTCTCACTCCGAAAAAGATACCCCTCACAGTTTTCTGGACTTGCTGCTTCTTCAACCTTGAGCTGTGACCCCTTTTGGGGCGAGCGTCCGCCAGCTCCAGGTAAGGACACTCGACTGAGCAGTGCCCTTTGAGATGTTTATACACCTCACTTAGGTCTGAAGTATAACCTAGGAAATTTCAGGTGCTCTAATCTCTTAGGGTAGCTGAGGTGCCGAAGTGCATGACACCAGTCTGGTGGCCCTCCTTTGGACATTTTCAATCAACTGACAGTCCCTAGCATATCTCGGGGACCAGACAGGGTGACAGTACCCCAGATGGGGAAGCACTTCACTCTTGAAGATCGTTACGAGGGACGGACTGTCTAAATATCTGAACGACCTTCTTATAAGAACTAATAATTTAGTCACCTGATTCACCTTCTTCTCAAAATGGCCCAAGAACTTCAGCTCATTGTCAACATACACACCTAGGTCCTTTTCACATTCAGTCTCAATTAATGCAGTTTCTTCGTCCCGTTGGGACATATGATACGCCTCCTTACCGTTGGTGCGTCTCAGGTGCAGCCTCTTGCACTTCGTGACAGTGAATCTCAGCAGCCATTTCTTCGACCATTCTTGAAGCTCACGGAGATCCTTCTGCAGCTCCTCACAGTCTGCTTGATTCTTAATTTACCAAAATAACTTTGAGTCATCCGCAAGCATTTGTATGGAGGAATGTACAGCGTCAGGCATGTCATTTATGAAGCAAACAAACAACAGCGGGCCCAATACACTGCCCTGTGGTACCCCGCTTGTGACGAATACACATGATGATTTCGTACCACTAATCACCACACACTGCTTGCGGTCATGTAGAAAGTCTTCTATCCACGCTAGGACATTTACCCGAAACCCGTACCCTTCCAGTTTAATTTTCAGCCTTTCATGGGGTACGCTGTCGAAAGCCTTGGCAAAATCTAGGTATATATTGTCAATATTACCACCCCGTTCCAGAATATGGGTCCAAATATCCAGTACCTTGAGTAATTTTGTTAAGCAGAAGCACCCCGGCCTAAAACCGTGTTGGCGATCCTTTACAAGGTTGTTTCGTAGTAGATGTTCTATCATGGCATCTCTTATAATGCTCTTAAGTACTTTACATACTATGCTGGTCAGGCTCACCGGTCTATAGTTGTTCGTAGAGTGACGATCGCCCTTCTTGAAGATAGGACTCACATAAGCCATTTTCCAATCACTGGGGACCTTTTGTTCATCCAGGCATTTACAGAACAGGATTTTCAGGGGCTCGGCAAGCTCGTTGCACAACTTTCTTAACACTGGGATGCACCATGTCAGGGCTGGGACTATTTGGAACCTTTAGCTTTGACAGTTTATTTCTTATAACCTCTTCTGTGAACACAATGTGGGTCAGTGCTGTGTCGAACCGTCTGTCCTCAAACACAAAATTAAATAAACAGATAAGTGAGTGAAAATCAAATTAGCTATGTCCCTTTTTTCGAGTCTTGGATCCCCCTTTCCAGAAATTTATATACGCCACTGTTTCTCAACCCGTTATCCCCCCACTCCCTCCTAACCTGCCCCTACTCCCCCTCATCGACAGATAAGACTATCCTTGAAGTAATGTGATAAGCGTTATCACCTTCCCGGAAGAATTACTGGTCAGAAATGTTAGAGAGGCGATGAGTGAATCTCAGGGCCGCAGTCCTCTTAGGTCTCTGGACAAATGGCTCCCAAATCATAATGCAAATGTTTAAGTTAGGTTGAGTCCTGTAGAACTCTCCCAAACATCAGTGTTATTATAGAGAACTTTATGAGAATTTACTGTTAATCATATAAATTTCATAAAAAAATTGTATAAGTACCGTACAAAGAGACTTATTAAAAGTTTGTCATTATTATATGCAAACCCATTTTACAACCGTAACTTTCGGCATCTCGAAGCACACTAACTGAAAATTTATTAAAACGATATATAGCATTTTGGTGCCAATAAATATGTTCTCGAGACACAATCATGTACATTTTTAAGCATAATATTATATTCTCAGGAGCAAATTTAATTTTCGCCGACGTGTATGCACCCCCAAAGGAGGTGGACATGGTGGAGCTTTGTATCTGATGATGCGGCTTATCTTATCTTGAGCTTCCTGCAACAAGACCACACCAACCACCACCATCACTATTAACATTACGAATGTACTATCACTACCATCACAACTACTACCACCACCATCACTACTACTACCACCACCACCACTATCATTACTATCACTAGTATCACCACTATCGCCGTTACCACTACCACTACCACCAATACCACCACTATCATTACTACCAACATTATCACTACCATCAACGCTATCACTAACACCAACACTACCACCACTACCTCCATGTACCACTACCACCAACACTATCACTACTACCACCACTATCACCATTACCACTACCACCAACAATGGTCCAACATTATCACGACTACTGTTACACGGATGACCGCCACATCATTTACTATTACATAATAGCATTATAACAACAATAAATCGACCTGGAGCTGGCGGATGACCGCCCCACAGTTCAAGGTTGAAGAAGCCACAATTCCAGAAAACAGTGAGGGCAAACTTTTTCGGAGAATTGTAAACTCTTTCAAGACCAGACTTGACCAACACTGGAGCAGGTTCAGATATATTCAGGAGCCAGTGCATGCCCAGTATACTTGCCTATAGTGCTTAACAGAGTGACCGACCGCCCAAGCGGCTAACGAGCCGATCAGTGGCGAAGAGGATATAAAAGTAAAAGGGAGAGTCAACCAGCAGACGAGAGTATGGATGATCGGGGACCATGCTAATTAGTTAATGTTAGGTTTATATATTGGCCGGAGAAATTTTTTAGGGAGATACAGCTCTTACTACTGTGCCTGAAGTGTGGTGTATGGGGATGTATAGCTGATGTATATGTGATTATGTTAAGATGACATGACAGGATGATGAATAGATGAATCTTGTAGGTTATTTTTATTGGGATAATGACCGGCCGCTGTTTTTCATTGAAACTGGGTTTAAAAATACCCAGTTTTCACTTCTTTTTTTTTACGGGGATTAGCCCACCTGGGCACAGGTCACTGACCCACATCGGCACCTGGGGGGCGAAAATGTAATAATAATAATAGTAATATTAATACTAATAATATTATTATTAATATTAATAATAATAATTCATAGTAAATAAAATTATAATATAAAATACAAAATTGAAAACAAAATAAAATAAAAATTATAATAATAACGAAGAACCATAAAAAATACAAAAATTAAAAAAAAATCAAAAGTGAGAAACATTATATGTATTTTGTGTTGTCAATAGTAAGAGAAACAATTGAGACCCTGCAATTGTGTGTAAATGAAGCAGAAAGTCAGATCAGCAACCTGGGACTTGGTCACAATTTTCGTGTTGCCATATGGCAGCAGGGTCCACCATTAGACAACACATTATGCTTCCGATATCTTCTCAGGCAGTAGTACCTCTCCTATATCTTGAAAATTAAGCATTTACACAAGTAATCAGCAAACGAAACTGTGTCTAAAATACCCTCCATAATTACTAGATACCAAACTACTGAAGGTCACGAGTCATACATTACCCAGTTTGTTCCCTCTTGTTATCCGTTGCCTGGCCAAGGATGGGAACAATCACCACCACTATCACTACTAGTATGGGCACCATTATCACTACTACCACCACTATCACTACCATCACTACTACCACCACCACTATCACTACTACTATGGGCACCACTATCACTACTACCACTACTATCACTACCAGCACTACTCACTACTACCACCACTATCACTACCACCACCACTATCACTACTACCACCAATGATGGATGGTCACGACTATACCCTTTCCACTCTAACCTGGCCCATAAGCCACGCCCCTCGTCTGTAGCTGATTGGTTCCCTGAGCGTCTTGCCTCCCTCTGGACTGCTCGTGTAGTATTTATATCGATCTCTTATGATAAATATTTAAAGTTTTATAACAGCCTCTCTGAAGTGCTGATGCCTTGAAATTATTTGCACTTTGATAGTTCAGATATTTAACATTATTTTAGATAATAACAGATCTGCTTGTGGACACATTTAGTTTGAATTTTCTATGAACTAATCAGCTGTCACTATAGAAGAGGGGCGTGGCTTACGGGCCAGGTTAGCGTGGAAATACTATAATGACTATCCACCATTGTCTTAGAGACTCACGAGGACTTCAATGGCCATCTTCAGATTAAATTCGTGAAGTTAGGGTTACTGTATGCATCTCTTCCCCCTGTTTTTACCTCAATGCAAATGATAGACTGGGCATTTAATAATTGAGCCAGTGAGCTGATAGGGGGCTTGACAAAAAGTGAGTGGGGTAAAATAAAGGGTGAAACTTAATAATGATCATTTTGTACTCTTCAGGTGAGGGTGTTGTACATGCGCAATTTGTCATTAACTACCACGGAAGAAGACATAAGGAATCTCTGCAACAGTTCCAATGGGGTGGAACGCGTCAAGAAACAAAAAGATTACGCCTTTGTCCATTTTGCTACAAGGGAGCAAGCTGAAGTTGTCAAAGCTTCTCTAAATGGTAGGTTGACCCTGTACAGTATCATGAAGTGTTTTTAATGTATGTGGTAAGATCATGGCACAGTAGTGTAGAAAATGAAGGGTAAAGGTCGATTCACACTACCCATCATATCTCAGTTCCGTTGCAGATCATCAATGTTCTGTAAAAAAAAAATTGTGTTATTAAATGGAACTGTTCACACTATCCTCTATCAGGCATGGGCAACTTGCGGCCCATGGGCCGCATGCGGGCCAAACCATATCTTTGTGCGGCCCACAGTGAATGAATATTTGTATTTAATGTAGCCCATGGTTGAGGAAGATGCAGCCACTTTATAGTAAGTAAAGCAATATTTACTAAAAGATTAATCTTCACACATAAGCCATTACTGTTTCATCACCAAAGAGTAAGTAACTACGAAAACGTTACAGTGGGTCACTAAGAAATAAACTAAGGTTGAGTAAGATCAACGTCTTCACTCTATGTCACAAACATGTCCTGTGATTATAAGACTTCATAACCAATCTGATTTGTTGCATTCATGTCAAAAATGAACCTCACCATCTTGTTTTGAATAATTTTGTCACTTGGCTTTTAGACTGTGTTAAGGCAGTACAGTATAATGGTCTGGTAGGGTAATCTCCATGATACACACATGGGAGGTAATTGGCGTTAATTCTCTTGAAGGGGCTACAGTGTATTGTGCATTTCTCTGTCTTATTGTTTCTAACCAGAAAGATATACAGTACAGTGCAGTACTGTACCTGCCTTCTGTTATGTACTGGTATAATATTACATCCTCTGCCATGTTTGCTAATTATTTGTTATGCACACTTCAATATTCATGTTCTTAGAGATGTTAATGATTTTAACAATGTTATTTGATGGCCATTGACAGGGCGTGTTGTTCATGGTTGTGAACTGGAAATTACATGGGCAAAACCAGTAAAGAACCGTGAGGAATACCATCAGCGGAAATCCCTGGCCCGTTCCATGATCAGTGCAGGACAGAACCAGACTGGCTATGTGTCTCATGTTACTCCTGGAGGGTATGTACTGCACAACAACACTGTAAATAGACTGAGGTCTCACTATTATTTTATTGATAATATGAATCACAAAACTCAGAAATTTTTGCTTTCCTTACATTTTATACAAGTTAAGTACATGAGTGGAGTAATTTGTCATTCCATGAATAATTATTTTTCAAAATTTTCTTTAGCCAATTGACAACCATAGATAGCAAGTAGACTAAATCCAGGTGAAATCAAAGCCAAAACATTTTCTATACACTTGTACTGTTTATGGTAATCATACGGGAATATGAGAAAGAATTTTTACATGCAATATCTAGCACTACAGTACACTCATAATTTAAGGGAAATATACAGTACAAGTATTACAGTACGTACATATACAGTAACCCTTCAGTAAAACTTGGTGTTGGGTTCAGCTGAACACCATGTCCATGCAAAACTGTGTAACCCTTGAAATGAAAAAAAAGGTTTATAGTGAGACGATACATTCAGGAACCGGTGCATGCCCATAACTTGCCAACAGTACGTAACAGAGATGTGAGTGACTGCCCAAGCAACTAACGAGCTGATCAGTGGCAAAGAGGACAATAGTAAAAATGTAAAAAGAGACTGTGTTCCATTTCCAACATTATTATATATAATATATATATATATTCAGAATTCCTAATGAGAGAAGTTATAAGTGATAATGAAGGACTAAAAGTTAATGGTAACTTAATATCAAACATAAGCTATGCAGATGATACTGCTCTTATCACAGATAGTCAAGAGGCATTGCAATTTTTTTTTAGCAAATTAGTTGGAAAAGGTGAAAAATATGGTGTAAGAGTTAATGCTGTAAAGACTGAAGTAATGGTTGTTTCAAATTAGAAATAAATCCTAAAATAAAAATTATGGTAGGCAACGGGGAACTTAAACAAGCAGAAAAGTTTGTGTACCCTGTACAGTATTTGGGAAGTAACAGCTGTGTGTCTAGATGTATAGAAGAAATTAAAACAAAAACAGCATTTGTAATAATCTAAAATACCTAATGAGAAGGGACATTAACTTAAATTTTAGAAAAAGGCTGTTGAAAGGCTTTACTGTACTGTATATGGCAAGGACTGATGTATGGTTCAGAAGAGCAGACACTTTCAGCAGACACCAGACAGAGGTTGGAGGGCTTTGTAATGTGGTGCTATAGGCGAATGTTAAGAATTAGTTACACTGACAGGAAAAACTTCAAGAGAAATACTTGAAATGTACAGAAAAAGAAAAATTAGATACCTGTACTGTACTTTGGTCATATAATTAAGGATGAGGGAATAATAGCAGAAATATGAATGGGCAAAGATGAGGGTTGGAGGGCTAGGGAATGGCAGAGACTGGGATGGATGAATGAAATTAAAAACTTTAGAGGATTGGTAAAAACAACCTGAGAATATTTAAAGTGGTGAACTGTGGTTGCCAACCTTCAGATATGAGGACCGAACTCTGATTGATTGAATGAGAAAAACAATTATTTTTTTTTTAATTAAGGCATTTATATTTACAGTTACTGGTACATATATATAATTTTTCTTTAGTTAATTGTTTTTTTAATTTGGGAATGATTTTGGTAACAACAAACTTGTATATACAGTACGTATTGTATTTCATTCTTGGGTTGTCTGTGGACCACATTTAACTTTTGGCCTATTTTCCCCTACAGTATTTATAGTTTATGTATATTCTAGGCCTATTATTACTAAAATTCTGGAAATTTCAGAATCTGGTTTGTGTCCTCTCCCAATCATGCCAGGTAATTGATACTGTACAGTATATTGTCCAGAGCATTATGTTTATGCCTTCAGTGATATCTGACTTGAATGAAGTATATCATGACATAACTTTGAGTTTACTAAAGTATTGAAGGCATCCTAAATATATATTAAACATGTCAGATTTTTTTGTGGTTTGAAGGTGGAGTTGGTGATTTTTACTAAGGTTAGAATGTAGCCCTGTGATTCCCTTTGATTACATTGATACAGTAATTTTGTATGAATCAGGTGTTCCAACATAATCTAGGAGTCTATTACAGTACCTTTCTGTAATGTAAGTCTATTGTATACAGTATTGTATATGTGTGTGGGCTTAGATGTGTTGTAGTATTACACCTTGATCTTTTTTTTTTTTTTTTTTTTTTCAAAGATGTACAATACAGTATTTCATCTTATTCACTTGTCCATTTTTCAGGGAGTCGGTCCTTGTTATGCCACAAGTACGCAGGGCAGCTGGTACTCAGGGACTTCAGCACTACCCAACTAGAGGACTCTCTTCACGGGTCAGAGCTACAGAGGTAACTTTTTTTATTGTGTCAATAAAATTGAAGGAATTATCATTTTCAGTTTTCTTATTATGTGTAAGCCAGCTCTACAATTTGCAGTGTTTTAATGGACTAATTCCATTTGGCCCTCAGGTCATACTTGCTGCATACTGGTGATTACTTATGATTATGTTCTTATGATCTTCATTGTTTCAGTAGAACAAGGTAATATAAACGAGTTCTGTGAATATTTGGCCTGGAGAGGGAGGGTGAAGAGCACATATTTTGTACAGGGTACAGTATTTGGTCTGGGTGAGGTGGTCTGAAACCAAATACCCTTTTTACTATATAAAACTGGTCTTTTCTTGTTTGGTGTCACTTTGAATGCCATTTTCCAGGAAAGCAACCCTTCTAAATTGTTATTTTATAAGATATTCTAAATGTGCTAAACCTATGTTCCAATGTTTTATAATTTTCAGACTCAGCTTGTGGGGATCCCTGCTCCTACAATGTTTGCGCCACAGGAACCGCAACTTAAAAGCCCACACGAGGTTAGTTACTGTCTTATAATATTTATATTGTTTCCTGTTTTTTTTTATGTATAATTTTTTTTTAATTATGTGCCAATATCTGGTCTGTGTTAAAAAAAATAAGGGAAGTCAGTTTTTGAGACATAGAAGACCAAGGATTTTTTACTATGATAAATAGATATATTAATGGATAAGGCAGTATGGAAGTTTCTTATTACTGTACATTCTTTAGTAGTAATAATTTTTGTTTTTATCTAATTGTATCACCACTACAGAATTATAGTTTTCACCAAATCTAGACGTTCTCACAAAAAAGTGAACAATAGTATATACTGTACTGAAATTATATTGACTGAAATGTATAGCAGAGAAAAACTCAAGAGTGTTTATATTTTAAGTATTACCATACAAATGCAAAGACAGAGGAAGATACAGAGGATATATTGATTATCCCTGTCTTCAGACTTCTGAAATCCCCAAATTCCGGTCATGACTACTCAAGTAATTCTAGAGCGCCTGGATGTTCAGATAGGTGGTGCTAGTGGAATCCTTCAACAAATCTGTTTGTAAATCGCTGCTGCTCTCATATAGCCTTGATACTTTAATTTTATCTTTCAGAAGCCATTGAATGTTTATTAACAAACAACAATGGACCCAGTACACTGCCCTTGGGTACTCTGCTTGTCACAGGTACACATGATGATTTCATGCCAATAATCACCACACACTGCTTGCAGTCATGACTTTCTTCATGGCCGCAAATAGCATGTGGTGATTAATGGCTAATGGCACAAAATTGTCATGTGTGCTCATCACAAGTGGGGTATCACAGGACAATGTACTGATCCCTTTGTTGTTTGTTTGTTTCGTAAATGACATGCAAGAGTTATACAGTCCTCCATACAAATGTTTGCGGACGATGCCAAATTATTCAGGTAAATTAAAAACCAAATGCACTGTGAAGAGCTACAAAAAGATTTCTGTCACTTCTCGGGTAGTCGAAGAAATGGCTGTTAAGTTTCAATGTCACGAAGTGCAAGAGGATGCACCTAGGTCGTACCAACAGTAAGAGGCATATCACAATCCCAACGGGAAGAAAAAACAGCATTAATAGAGACCGAATATCAAATGGACCTGCGTGTGTATGTTGGCAATGAACTGAAGTTCTTTGGCCATTGTGAGAAGGTGAATCAAGCAACTAAGCTAGTGGGTCTTATAAGAAAGTCGTTTAGATATCTAGAAGGTCCATCCCTTGTAACTTCCTTCAAGAGTAAAGTGCCTCTTCGTTTGGACCATCGCCCTATCTGTTCCCCGAGATATGCTAGAGAGTGTCAGTTGATTGATAAAGTTCAAAGGAGGGCCACCAGACTTAGGTCTGCAATATGGAACCTCAGTTATCCAAAGAGATTATAACGCCTGCAACTGTTTAGATTTTGCTGTAGACTGGCAAGGGGTGACCTAATTGAAGTTTCTAAACATCTCAGAGGGCACCAGTATGGGTGACAGCTCAAGGTTGAAGAAGCCACAAGTCAAGGAAATTGTGAGGGCAAACTTTTTCAGAGTGAGAATTGTAAACTCTTGGAACAATCTACCAGAGAGTGTTGTGGTGGCACCGAGTGTGGGCCCTTTCAAGACCAGACTTGACCAACACTGGTACAGGTACAGATACATTCTGGAGCCAGTGGCAAAGAGGATAAAAGTAAAGAGTAACAAGATCCTAAGAAAACTAAGAAATGTAGTTCATTGTAGTGTTTGTAAGTGTTGGGAAACAAATGCAGCTTAGCAACAAGCAAGTTGAGGCTATTACTCTTAGATTTTTATCAATGCAGCATTTATATTGATAATTATTTCATTTGGTTTCTTTCAGTGACAATTTACAATCATATTTTAGTAAAAAAAATCTGGTACTGTACTCATACTGTATTATAATTTGGGGTCATCTGGGACCACACTCTCAAACATTCACCTTATTTCCTCATACAGTATTTTATTTAGTATTTTATTTATATTTCAGCTCTATTACCTATTTTCAAGATTATGATGAAAATTCTTGAATCTGGTTCATTTCCAGGAGAAGAGGTGAGAACACTACTTGCTACCATGACACTGACAAACTATCATGGGGTGTTCTGTATGTTAGAATCTCATATCTTCTATAAAACAACTTTGTAAAGAAATGCCAGCAAAGTTTTTTGCCCAGACACACAATTAAACTGGAAGGGTACAGAATTTGGGGAAAATCCTAGCATGGATCAGAGACTTTATTCATGGTTGTTGTTGTTTGTTTGTTTCAATGATGATATACCAGATGCTATGCAGTATGCTCCTCCATGCAAATGTTGTGGACAATGCTGAGTTATTTAGTGAAATTAAGAACCAGGCGGGCAGACTGTGACGTGTTACAGGGAGATCTCTGTTGGCTTCAGGAGTGGTCAAAGACAGTGGTTAAGATTCAACACCGTGAAATGAAAAAAGATGTACAGTACATGGGTTTTACCAATAGTAACGAGGTATATCTCAGGTCTCAACATGACAAAGAAACATCATTAACTGATACCAAATACGAAAAGGATCTGGATATGTATCAGGGGCAGATCCAGAAATATAAAAAGGGGGGGTCCAAGAAGTAGTGGGTGGGGGAACATGGCAAGCACAGCAAGTCCAACCAGCTGAGGGGTTTGGGGGGTGCTGTAAACCCCCCAGAATTTTTTTCGAAATCTGACCAATATCATGGGCATTTTGAGGCCATTTTGAAGCCATGTGCACTTGATATTAGAAGATATTCTGAGGTCAATAGTAATTACTTTTTACTATACAAAAATGCCTGAGTACAATACTGCATTAAAAAAAAAGTACTGGAATTTTCAGGTCATCATTCCTAGCTTTCCAAGTGGTGGTATCCCTTTTCCATCAGAGAAGATAGCCAGCCCTGGAGGAGAAGTTCGAGGTATGTTTGACTTAAGACTGTGATTTTTATCAATTAGGTCAGAGGTATTTTAACATTCTATACAGTATTAAATTACAGTATTCTGCATCAAATTACTGTATTTAATGATTGGGCTACCTTCATATACTGCCTATTACATTTAGAGGAGAAAACATTATAGCTCTTGAACATTTAGAAAGTAAATAAGAATCTTGAGGGAAGGGAAAGCTTTCAGAAAGTTAATAATAATTGCTTTGAAAAATCTTCCTTCAAATTTTTATGTGAAATTGTTACATGATATTGATTTTGAATGCTAAAAAGTTATGTGTTTAGGATTTCTAACTATAGTGGTAACTTAACCATAATTAGTTTAGTTACTTAAGTAGAAAATGGGGAGAACAAGGGATTTCTTGTAGAGCTTTTCCTATCTGCTTTTGTATAACTGACCTAGCAACAGCAAACTTTTAGCAGTGGACAAATACTGTGTAATGTAGCAGTAGGATTTTGCATATACAGGTTGACAATCCCTTATCCGAAATCCTTGGGGCCAGAGACATTTCGGATTTCAGAATTTTTCGGTTTTCAGAATTTTTTTTTTTTTTTTTAATGTGTATTAGCCCACCTGAGCATAGATCACTGACCCACATCAGGGCCTGGGGTGCAAAAATATAATAAAAATTATAATAATAATAATAATAATAATAATGATAATAATAATAATAATAATAATAATAATAATAATAATAATAATAATTCATAGGTCTAGGTCGTGTTTCTCACTTTTGATCTTTTTTTCATTCTTGTATTTCTTTATTATTATTATTATTATTATTATTATTATTACAGTACAGTACAGTTAACCCTCGCTTTACGCGGTCCCACATTCCGCATTTCCACGTTTACGCGGTACCCTGCCGAAACAGGAATGCTCACATTCCGCAGTGCGTGTACCCCTTTACTCGGAGAGCGGCTGGCAAGCCGCGCCATTTTTGGATCCAAACCTCCCGCCATCTCTCCCGCCCTCTCCCGCCATCCGCCATGTTGTGTAAGCGGCGCGAGCATGGTGCGCACAAGGTCGCCCAGTCATCAAAACATTACCGAGTTCTTCACCCGCCACCCACCACAGCCGGCCCAAGTCAGTGATAGTGATAATTATAGTGAGGATATGGACTTATATGGACTTTGAGGGGTTTGACAAAGAGGCCCTGCAAGCCTCTGTGGTGGATAGTGATACAATTGATACAAGTGATACAGGTGAGGGCCAATAATCTGCCCTCTGCCTCGGAACCAACCGCCCATCCCCGTGTGCCCAGCCATCTTTTCTACTAATGTAAGTGTTAAAAAACCTAATATTATTGCTATTTCTCTTAATTATTAATTGTGTGTGCATACCATCATAAAGTTAAGATAATATTTTTACTACAACATAGTTGTGTGTCGTCAAAAAGTGGAGTTTGGGGGTCGGCCCGGTCTCTATTTCAATTAATCCCATATGTTATGTTGTTCACTTTACGCGTTTCTCACTTTCCGCGGTACCCTGTGGGTTGAATTAACCGCGTAAAGTGAGGGTTGACTGTACTCCTGTATTATTGTTATTTTTATTAATTTTATTATTAAATTTTATTAATATTACTATTATTATCATATTATTTTATTTTGGTGTATTTTTATTAAAATTTTTATTTACTATGAATAATTATTATTATTATTACTATTACATTTTCATTTCGCCCCCCAAGGCCCTGATGTGGGTCAGTGATCAATGCCCGGGTGGGCTAATCCCTGTTTAAAAAAAAAATAAAAATGCCCCACAAAAAAAAGTTTCGGTTTTCAGAGCTTTTCGGTTTTCGGAATTTCGGATAAAAGGTTGTCAACCTGTACTGATATTAAAGAGTGTGCAGTTATGCCCAGACCTTGTGGCCAGTGTAAATCTACAACCAATATTAAGAGGTATAAAAAGAGTGACATTGGCATTTTTACTTTTGCTCTCTGCCACTGGTTAGCCAAAGTAATCTGTCTCTTGATTATATCAATAAGATAGTTGTCTTCTGCTTCAACTAAGATGAATCTGGCAACTGGTAAAGTAGAATAATCTTAATATTGTTGTTACAGGTACTCTGCAAACCAACTCTGGTATAACAACTGTTAATTCAAGACTGCTGCAAGCAAACCAGGCCTTACGTGGAGTTCCTCTTGCCCCACAGTACTTCATGGCATCTCCAATGAACATGCCACCTCTTATAACACCTGCCATGACTACTGCAAGCCCTCAGAGCATGACAGTGTCTCCAGGCACATATTTGGTGCCTTCTGCTCCACTAACTGGTATGTAAATTAGCACACAATATTGTTTGTATTATATTGTTTATTTTATATTATAACTTACTCATACGTATTCATCAAAATAGCATGAGGGTCGTATCGGATAGCGTCTCTGTAACAAAGCGTGTTGGCACTCGGGCTTTCATTGTTGAGGGACGGCAATGAGACAGTTATTACATAAGAGCATCAAGATCGTCTGAGTGATGTGAATGTGTAAATCAATGTAGGATTTTTATCGTTATTCCCAATTGTATATTTGATAACACTCTACTGACCAGAGGAATAGGCCAGGAGGTATACAACCACAAAATCATTGCCACATGGCAAGGTTTATTCAGAAAATTTTAAATGAGTTGTGCTCATGGCTGTGATTGACTATCCAAAGGTCGATCAGTGAGGGTAGTATTGTGCCTTTATTTAAGACAGTCCGTAGTAGCCAAGACATAGTATTTGGTGCCACAAAGGAAGTTTTTCTTTTGTGTGTGTTTTCTTAAATGTGCATAGAGATAGTACATGAAGATAATTTCATTGATGAGAGCTAGAAAAAAGAATAAACGTGAATAATATTTTTGAAAAAGTCAAACTGTCACGAAGGAACCGTTGCCACCACAAAGAAAGTTTTTTTTTTTTCTGTGTATTCTAAAGTACTGTGATTGTGCATATGATCCACCATTCATAGTGGCAACACATAGAGATACCAATATCTCGTCAAGGAGAACTAAAGAAAAAGAAAACAAGTGTGGGTTTTATGAGCTGAGTGTTGTTGACAGAGGCAAACCTTTTTGGGGGGTAGGGTCGCATGGTCAGCCCCCCCTCCCCCCTTCCTACATGGCTAATTGTGATAAGGCGATGAATTTGATACCATAATGAACCTTAATAAATTCTCTACGAAACATTTCCAAGAAGATATCCCTAAACAAAATACTGTATTTCTATTTAATATAGTGATGGGAATTCCATTCTTTTATATAAAAAAAGTAAGAAATATTGATACCAGAGTCAGTAAAATCAGTTCTAATTTTGTTAGACACACCATGTTTTTATCAAAATAATCCTGAATACTCTACCTAAAAGTTTGATTTAATAAATATATTTAAAAAACAAAAGCTCTATATGATACGGGCGTGAATAGAGCCATGTTAATTTTATCCTCTTCGCCACTGATTGGATCGTTGGGCGATCGATCACGTCTCTGTTACTGTTGGCAAGTGTTCTTGTATATATTGTACTCCAGCAGATCCTGTCATCTTTACCCTAGAATAGGCAGACACTTCACTCAATTGACTGTATATTTTAAAGTGTTATGTAACATAATGTTGAAGGAATACAACTTGGCTTATAACAACCTCTCTAAAAATACTGTAGGTTTCGTGTTTATTCAAGACGTCTTCAGGTCATTAGACCCACTAATCCTCCACCCAAGAAAGGGTGACCTGACATTCCATCAGGCCAGTAATATGAGACCACTAAACTCCCATCCTACCTCCACCTGACATTGCATCAGGTCAGGTCAGTTACACCAGACCCACTAATCCCCCACAGCTCCATGGGAAAGGAAAATACCAGTCTTAGTTGTAACACACAGCTTCATTCACACCCATATCCTATAGATTTTAGATTTTTAAATATATTTATTTAATCAAACTTTCAGATAAACTATTCTGGATTATTATAGAAAAGAAATGAAGTTTGTAACTTAATTGGAACTGTATTTACGGATTTCAGTAATTTAGACTCAAGGAAAACGTCTCCATCACCCAGAAACGTTCTGGGAAAGTGGGCTAGTGTCTGTCTGTGCAAGCTGTCTAGTTTAGACACTTGGAAACTTTTCCCAGTAACCAGAAAGGGTTCCGGGGATAAGGAATTTTTCCAAGTTTCAGAAAGTTGTCTGGTTACCTGGAAATCTCTCATTCCCAGAAGTGCTATGCACCAATTGTTCCGGCTAACTGGAATATCACTTTATATATTAGGTCGTATATATCTTATATCATCATTATTAAGTGTCACTAAATAGGGGCATATACTGTATAATATATCTATACCCCTCTCTTTATCCTTTTATACCGTACAGGTAGTACAGTATATGCCTTTCTTTACATGATTTAAGTTGTTTCCTGGGAATATCACCCTTCATCTGGACACAAACAGTACATGTAGTTACAAATTAAAATTAGGGGTAGTTGATTGGGTACTTGGAAAAAATGGCACCGGAAAAAATTTATCTACAGTATATTATTATTCTCTTTTTTCAGGATATGAAAGTCTGAATCCTTATGCCTTGCAAGCAGCATTCTACCAGCAAGCTCTTATGGCCCAGCCAGGTATTGCAGCAATGGACAGGCTACGTTACAGTACCACTGGGGAGTAAGCTCAGGTATTTCACTCTCTGTCCACAGAAAGTAGCATCATAGTTATCATGTACTTCTTCTGTTATACATTTGGTTTAAAACAATGGTAGTACCATGTGGAACACTGTGGTGTTGGTGGTATTAACATACTGTACATCCAATTGTATAACTCGTATTAAAATCATACCAGTAAGAAAATGAAGCCGCTCAGGGAACAGTGCCTAAAAACCATTTTTATCAAACATTATTCCCCATGAACCAGATATTGAAGTACACATATAAAAACAAATGCTGCCCATGCACATACCATCACCTCAATGCATACCAAAACTTTAATCCTTCAGCAAATAAGTTGTTACTGCATACAGTAGCTATATCTAGACTTTACAACTGAGGCAAAGTTAGGCAAAATTTAGATGATATGCAAGCAGATGTGGAGTGTGTCACCCATGTGATCGCCAAGTCACCTTGTAGGATATTTCAGCAAATACTTCAAGTATTACAACTATATTGGATCTCCAGAATTAATTGTTTTGGGAAACATTATATAAGTACCTGTACCACTCGACTTAGATTGTGGGAATAAGATTGTGCTATATAATTAAGTGCAAGCAAGTCCCAAAGGTCTTGAAAGCCCTTTAGGGATAGTGTCGATATGGTTCACTAAACCTTCAATACATGAGTAGGCAGCCAGGTCAGCACTGCACTTGACCACCTTCACTTCCTTACTCTAAAGGCAGGTACCCATTAACAGCTAGGTGGACTGAGGATGCCCTTGAATAAAATCAGTAACCCTTTGGGCATGAGGCGAGCACAATATCCACTCAGTTGCTACACCCATACTTAAGTAAACATGAATAAACAATAAGATTTCAGTAAGGATATATGTCATCCTTATGATGGGTGTGCAGCTTAAAGTGTCAACAGAGGGGAGTCAGCAGGTTTGTTAATGAAAATATAAGACCCTCAAAAAGTAAGTCCCAGTTTGCCATTAGAAAAGAGTATATTTTCTGTGATAGCTGATTTGTTTATAGTCAAGACTCGCTATATAAGAGACCTGTCCAATGAATTCTGTCAACTTTATATTTGATGAAGCTGCATTTTATATACCGAGTATATGCAATACAGTACAGTACTTGTGTTTATTTATTGAGAATCAGTGTAAGATAACTATTTAGGTAAAAGCTTATTCAGTACTTGTAGGTGCATTACAAACATGAAGTACACTTGTGAAATATGGGTGTAAAACACTATACATTAATGAAATACTGGATACTTTATTCCTTTATGCATTTTGAGCATAACTTTTTTATAATGTTTAACAGTCATTGAAATTACTGTACAGGGTATTGTACATGTTGGTTTTTTTTTCAACATATTACATCAGGTTATGAAAACTATGCAATAATATCTCCAGTATTTGTTATAAGATTCATCAAAGAAGGTATTCCAAAAAGCAGGTTGTAGACAAGATTCAGAATGATTTTCTAAAAAAAAAATAAGAACTGTATTGACAAATGTAGTGATATTATGATGCACAAAAATTATATATATATATATATATATATATATATATATATATATATATATATATATATATATATATATATATATATATATATATATATATATATATATATATATATATATATATATATATATATATATATATATATATATATATATATATATATATATATATATATATATATATATATATATATATATATATATATATATATATATATATATATATATATATATATATATATATATATATATACTGTATATACTGTATATATATATATATTGTATTACATTACAGTACAGGGGGGTATACATGAACTGTTTTTAGGTTTTTCATAAGAAGTTTTTTTCATTAACAGTCACACAGTGGAGGCAATTTCATGAAAGGTAGGATGACTTGGACTCAATTCCCTCGTGCAACTGAGGAACAAAATTTTATTATACCAAAGCTTAGTGTGTAGAGAGTTTAATATTTTTATAGTATAATATAAACAGAGAAGTGTCTAGATTTTGTCTAATTATGAGAAAAAGTTTGCAAGTCAAATTTCTCATTCTAAAAAGCCAGTATTTTACAAGGATCTGACTAACATAAGATGCATATGATCCTGTTGATGGTGATTTTCATATCAGTTTGATTTTGACATTGGGAACACCATATACTTGTTTGAATGATACCGGCAGTCATATTGTTTCTTAGAAGGTTTTTGGTTTTGATTTTTCCAGTAAGTAAAACCTGATTATATCTTCTATGTGGGTATATTTTTCTTCACAAATTAAAATTTCTTTGTAAAATTTTCATGTGTCCACTTGGGTATTATCTTGTTGACCAGTAAGACTTTTTTTTATGGTACAATTTCTTTGTTAGGTTCTTTAATAATCTTTAGAGTTAATTTGAAGCTGAGATGGCCAGTGATATATTATAAAACTGTATCATATTTACTTCACCATTTGGTTAATTTCTTGTAGCTGGTGGGTGTACCATGTGTCAGTACTGTGCAGTAATCGTGAAAGTATTGGTGATGTTAACAAAGCAGTGTATGGGTCGATTTTTATTCTCAAGCATGATTTTTTTTTTATTCTTATAGTGAATAATCAGAAAGAAGAAAAATAAATGTGTACAGGTATTTTAAATTTACATAGTGACACACACTAAATACAAAGTAATTGAATTATTAAATATCATAGAACTGATACTTGCTACAGACCTGCTACATGTTCTTCCCACTGAATCATTAATAGTGGTCAAGAAAATAATGGATATTGCAATAATTTCTAATATATATATATACTGTATCCTCATTTTGATAAGTTTAAGATGTCCCCAACTGCTGATGCCTAGTGCCATGGAAGCTTTCTTGATATGAATGCCAACAAAAATATGTTTTATTGCTTTATTTTAGATTTGCTCCCTTAAATTAGTTGACAGAATGAAAGAAAGATTTTAAAATTGTGTTTTAAGAACAAGGTATATTTTTATAACACAGTTAGCCTTTCAAACAAGAGTGGAGGAAATTTCCATAGGAGCCTAATTTAGCTAAATATATAGTCTTCCCTGGTGAACATAATAAATTACCTTGTTGGGTGTCCACCAAAAGAAATCATAGTTATTTTTGAGAATTATAGTGTTAAAATAACTAAAATGATACAACTGTACAGTATATAAAATGTATCCAAGAGTACAACACTATATTGAAACTTCATTATTTTCAAGGTTAACAAAGAGCATGCAGGGTATACTGTATGTCTACATACATGAGACTGTGATGTAGGTCATTCCATGGCACTTTTCTTTTTGGCTTTGATTTGCTATTTCAACATTTAGAGTTCTTGCTAATTTTAATGTATAATACTGTATAAACATTTTAGTCTTCTTGCCATTTCTGTACATAATAATCATAGAAAATTTTTATTACAGTACAGTACTGTACTTGTTTAATACCACTGTATTAGATTTGATAGTCATTAGCTACAGCAGCAAGAGATTAACGCCCAGAGTTTTAATTACCCTCTTCTTTGAGGAGTTTGTCATATTTACAACCAGAGTTGTACAAAATTTGAGCCACAAAGGACACTGCACTACAGTGTTTGATGGGGAGGTGTGGATGAAAAACGAACTAATTCCAATATTATAATTTAATTTTACCACCACACCTCCCCGTCAAGCACTGTAGCACGGTGTCCTTCGTGACTCGAATTTTGTAAAACTCTGGTTGCAAATATGACAAACTCCTCAACAGAGGAGGGTAATTAAAACTCTGGGCATATTGCTCTTGGTAAACATTTTTTTCCCAGTGTTAATGATTTAGGTTAATACCATAGTAGAATTAGGTCATTAAATTTTTAGTTTATGTATCAAAAATAGTTACAGTATTTGAATTTTTAAAATTAATATAATGTAACCAAAAAAATAACATTCTTAGTTTTTATAGTGTTTAATAACTGTACAGTACTGTATGTCAAAGTTAAGCATATATTGAAAATCAACTTAAACTTTTAGTATTTGTATTATGACTTAAGATTTAATGGAGGCGTCAAGAACTGTTTTACAGATACACAATAAGTTTACACTGTAGAACTGTGTTGTTGATCAGTTACCAAAACCTTGATGCCTTTTGTTCCCAATGTTTTGAACATTACTTCATATTAAACTTTTATTTTCTGTATTTTAAACCTTTTATTTGCTGTTTATTTTTTTTTAACAACTAAATTATCATTAAAGCAGTTACAATAAAGAACATGCTCAGTTTAATTTGGAAAGATTCATTAAAATCTACTTGAAATTTTGATGAAGGGTTTAATTATGGAGATTAGCTAATTAACAATATTGTCATATCTTGCTTTCCTTGCACAGTAGTTAAGAACTCCAAAGTTCTGTAATATATACTACTGAGTGAAGAATAATTTTGGATGGTAATTATCATGGGTGAATCATTACAGAATCATATTATTTGATGATAAAATATTGGTGTATAGTAAGACAGGAGAGTTATAGATGCAATAAGCTAGTCAGTGCAAGGAAATAAAGACAAGTCTCTTCTTTGTGTGTTAATTTCCTGAACACTAATTATTTATTAATGTATTTAATGCCTGTTTGATAGCTACCTACTACATGTACCTACTACCTATGAATCAGTTTTACATATACACTACATCCCTACCCTCTTCATTGACCATATTACTCAATTCTCGGTTTTGTTCACAGGTTCCTGATCATGTAATTCACCCTCAAACACGAAATAGTTCCTTGTATTTGAGGGTTAGTGATATTCATAGTACGTAGTATTTTTTTTTTTAATATTTATGAATTTAGTTTGGCAGTATCTAAAATATTTGTTCTAGAAACTGTTCTGTGATAAATCTTAGTCTATTACTAACCATTCTTTTATTAAATGTACATGGTCGCTCTTTGCCATAACACTGTACCCAAATCATTACATTCTTTGTATGTAATGTTGTATTACTATTTATATTTTGACACTTCTACAATACATTACTGTACAGTACAGCACTGAAGTCATCCTCCGCATCATTTCAGGACTCCTATTCCTTGATTATTTTCCCTGGTAAGGCCTCTCCTGAATTAAAATTTATTTTATTAGACTAGTTTTAAATGATGATTGGTGAAGTTGCCAGGAGTCTTATATGGGCCCAAGAAAAATGAGAGATGTCCACTTTGATGTGTGAAGTGACAACCAAAAGCTTAGGAAAAGCCATTCTGAAGAACCAGGTGACAAGTTACTAGAAGTCCATCTGTGACAAAAACTTGACAGACATTCCTGTATTTAACCCAGGCATTATGAGAAGTAATAACTGCAGTAACTAGTAGATCCCAATGTCAGCACAGCCACGGAAAATCTCCTGGTTGCCGCAGCCTAGTGCCTGAGTGCCGTTCCCACAGTCTCCCCAACTGTTTGCTGGAGGAGAAATAATGTCACTTAACATGTCCAGATTCATTCTTCTTATTAGCTTAATATCATATGAATATTGTTTCACCTTGTGTGTACCTTTAGCTATTAAATTCCCATACATATATTCTTGTGATTGTACTTGATAAGTACCTGCTCTATATTAGGATAGGTTAATGTTTTCTATATTATTGCAAGTTATAGGTGCCTGCACTTCGGCACCTCAGCTACCCTGAGAGATTGTAGCGCCTGAACTTGCCAAGCTTATACTACAGATGGGCAAGGGGTGACCTAATTGAGGTGTATATGCATCTCAAGGGGCACTACTCTGTTGAGTGTCCTTACTTGGAGCTGGCGGACGCTCGCCCCACAAGGGGTCACAGCTCAAGATTGAAGAAGCCGCAAGTCCAGAAAACTGTGAGGGCAAACTTTTTCGGAATGAGAGTTGTGAACTTTTGGAACAATCTACCACAGAGTGTTGTGACAGCACCGAGTGTGAGCTCTTTCAAGACAAGGCTTGACCAACTTTGGAGCAGGTTCAGGTACATTCAGGAGCCGGTGCATGCTCAGTACTTGCCAACAGTGCGTAACAGAGACGTGACCGATCGCCCAAGTGGCTAACAAGCCGATCATTTGGTGAAGAGGATAAAAGAAAAGGAAAAGTAATCAGAGATGTGACTGATCGCCCAAGCAGCTAACAAGCCAATCAGTGGTGAAGAGGATAAAAGTTAAAAAAAAGTTAAAAGTTATAGGTACTTAGTGCTGTTTCTAGTTTGGCTTACCATCTTAGTGAATCTCACTGTTAAGAAAAGTGATTCAGCCATGTCATTTTGCCCTGCCTCTGTGTGTAAGTACTGTATGTAAGTGTATGGTGCTGACGTGTGGAGGAACTGCTGTGTTCATACAGCAAGGATATGTATCCCACGGAGCATCAGCTATACTACTTCAGGCCTTCAGGGGTACCAGGGATTCACAGTTTCCAAAACTGACTAAAGTTGTCTTGCAAGCAGGTTATGTTAACCCTTTGTAGGCCAGGGGTTTCTCTCAGATGAATAAAAAACCAAAGTGTGCTGCTGTCCTACAATGGGTTAAGGTAACTAAACTTATTTTTATCGCTTAAATCTGTTATGTAGTGTGAGGTCAAACTGGTTCTAGACAAAACAGTATAGAAACCATGCACTGACATCATAGACATTATAGAAAACATTACTATCCACCATCTTGACGGGCAAATCCAGGAATATCAAAGGGAGGGGTCCAGGTAGTTGTGGGTGGGAGAACATGGCGAGCAGAGCGAGCCCATGCAGCTGGTGGGGGCACTGTAATCCCCCAGAAAGTTTTGAAATCTGACCAATATCATGGGCATTTTGAAGCCATGTGCATTTGATATTAGAAGATATTCTGAGGTTAATAGTAATTACTATTTACTATACAAAAATGCCTGTGTACAATACTGCATTAATGAAAAAGTATTGGAATTTTCTGATGAAAGGGGGGGGGGGGGTCCGGAACTGCAGGATCCGCCCCTGCTTGGGAACAAAAGTGTTACTTTGAGTGATAGGTGAGCAAGGATGGCTGCAAAGTTTTGCAACAAAAGAAGCATAGGAAATGCTAAAAAGGGCTTGTTAGCAAAATATTACAACAGCCCAACAAGTGCAAAATCTGGGAAAAAGATATGAAGAGAAGTTAAGGAATTTGTACTCCAATGAGTTGTACACAGTTACAAGAAACAAGTGGCTTGATGAAATCGAGAAATAGCCATCAATCTCATACATCCACATTGGCATATACCAGTAGTTGTTGTTTTTGCAAAGCCCGTATACAAAAGAGCAGCTAATGAATTGCAGAAATGGTGACGGCAATAAAATATTTACCAATGGATGGGTAAATGAGATTCTACTGAAGAAGTTCACTGAAAAATGGCTTAAGATCACAGTGCTTTTGATTCAGTCCTGTAATTGAAATTCATTTTGACAATCATACCTTTCATGCCTCAACAGTTTCACTTCTCTTTTTGTTCCTTTTGCACTGTATTGAACGTTTATTTCATTCCCCCTGACTCATTTTCACGGATTCATAGCCTAGATCCATTGAAAGAGTCCAGTCATGATTTTTTTTTAAATATGTTGTGGATAGTTTTACTGGAAAACAGAAATAGTGTACAGTACGGCACATGTAACTTAAGTAAAAATTACATCATTAACAATGAACTTTAAAGATCACTGTCAGGAGTGTATGTTTAGAACTAAAAACCTTTAGTATATTAAAAAACTTCCATGGATAAACTGTAATGCCTTACATGCCTGAGGATACCATATAATGTACTCCATATGGAGAGGTTCCTTACAAGTAATAAAGTTATGACTGCATACTGTAGCATTGTTACATTGGGTTGGTCTGAATTTTGGCCAGCCACTTTTCACATCTTTTCTGGCTAAATCTTTGGGTTTTTCATCACAATTCTACCACCTTCTCTCTCCGAATGATTAGAACAGCTGAAAATGCACTAAACTTCATCAATGCTAACAACATTCCAGTTTCATTATGTTATGTTATGTTATGTTCCCCAAGATGACTTTGATCATAAAATTACATACATGATGCTTTGTGCTAAGGGTCTATAAGTGGTAGTATTACCTGTGTGGTAGTGCCACTGGAGAACACATTGGGTGCATACCACATCATCTGGCAGCTTCACAGTAGTTTTATGCCACTCGGGATCCTGAAATTGAAGTTAATCAACTGTCACTTGCTGAAAGCCTTGAAACTTATTGAGCTCATTTATTTTTACCCTCATTTCATGAAATTAATTTTTTATTAGTTTTAAGAGGAGAACTGTACCACAAACACAGAGATTCATAAAAAGTGACTTATGAGGCATTGAGTTTTGAGTTGTGGATCCCATATAGACATAACTGCTCGTTAGTGACAGTGTGGATACAGCACACTCTATACTAAGCCTTCGGTATACAAGGAAGAAGCATGGCCGGTAGTACACTCGACCGCCTTCACTTCCGCAAGTTATAGTTGGGTGAACTAGGAGCGCCCGGGAATCGAACCACTGACCCCCAGAACAGGAAGCAGTCGCTGTGTCCACTCAAACACTGCTTTACAGTTTTGAGTTGTATAATTGTATAAATGAGAATCCTGAATCTCTGTATTACTGTACAGTACGGTGAACTCCTCTCAAATAAGAATACAACAGCTTCAGGGTGCTTGGAAGTTCCTACTCTGGAAAAATGGGTTGGCTATAGAAAGGGTATCCTGCCATAAAACTTGCTTCAAAATTGCCTGATGATAGCCGGTAATTGGTTAATCATGGTTAACTTGCACAAGTGTGGAAAATGGGCATAAAACAGTGAGAATCAAGTATTCCTGTAAAGGAGACGTTCCTAACTGGAAGTCCATAAACAACTAGAAATGGGAAACTGGTAGCAAAAGTCTGTGTATTAACTTTAAGTGGGTATTTCTACTCTGAGACCAAGGAAATCTTAATGAATGGGTGATCATTGAACCATGGCTTAACGTGTATACAGTACTGTATATACAAAGTGAGCTACATGTGCCAAGGCACAACTTACATCAGCATAAATGTAAGCTTTGGTGCCGGAGCCGTCAGCGTGCTCAAGGAGGTGCTCGTCCAGGCACTCCTGTGTGATGATCTTGGTGACATCGTTGTTGACACACAGACTGAATTCAAAATATCCTAAGTGGTTCCTGGTGAGATTTACCTCAACTGTTAGGTCCTGTTTAGGAAGATTGCAAGCAGATGAAGAGAAAAAGTACTTTAGAAAGTTAAGAAAAAGCCTTTTATCAGTTTACTTTCAGGAATACTGTGTTAATATAGAATCATTAAAAAATTTGGTTATTGGTTCATTACTTTCACTGCCCATTATTTTCACCCAGCTGTTACTCCTGGGCTATATTCCTTGCCCCCCCCCCCATAATCTATGAAAACTCATCCCCGATCATCATTACCTGTCCCCTGGTGTAGTTGGCAACAATGAGTCCAGTGCCATACGTGCCACCAGCCTCGTTGTCCCTGGGCTGGGGGTCGGCCCAATTGTCGCCACACACGCCACACTTGCCGTCATTTTGTTTGTACTGTACCTGTGTAGAGAGCAGCCAGCTCCATAAGTTTCATTGTCTTGTGTTAGTTCTGAGCTTTTGGGAAAGGAGCTGTATGAGAGATAATGCAGGTGTTTTGGGAGATCAAGGGTTTTCAGTTTGAAAATTTATAAAATATCTAAAAAATATTAATGTCATGACTTATATTGTAATGTTTTCATTGGCAAAAACTAACAACATAACCCATTTCTAAAAAAATTACGATTGTAACCGACCTCAACAGAAGCTATGTGGAATTGAGGTTAACACTTACACCAAAGCCACCACAATACAATTGGTTGTCATCATAGTTAATTGGGGTATTGAAGCCTTTCCTCCAGGCAGACGACCGACACACTGGCTCCATCAGCCGCCCATGGCTATCCACCCCACCTGCCACCCACAACACCAACAAGCCTACATTCAACACCCACAGGTAACTCATTGCACTTGATAAGAGGCTCCTGTAACAGTCTTGAAGCAGAAATTTGCTCTGATCCTCTGGCAAAAACTGTCATTATTTATATAGGTGGAAAAATGAAGGTCAGTGAAATAGCCAGTTGGGTTAGGCAGGCATGGGGTGACATTGAAGCACTTGGGAACAGCTGATGGGTCTCAGCCAGCAAAGATAACCTAGCTGGTGTTTCACCAGACAATGTTCAGTAAACAAAAGAGTTGCCAGACTCGTGATGTAATAAACTTATGGCGTTCTCAACCATGAAAGTACGTGGAGGACAAATTAAGGTTACAAATTATTCTGCTAATCATGCTCTTGGATGTTAGACGAGGGTAATGTGTCCTTTATAGTGTTAAAGTGAAAACAGCTATGAGCTCAAATATATTTATATATATATATATATATATATATATATATATATATATATATATATATATATATATATATATATATATATATATATATATATATATATATATATATATATATCTATATATATATATATATATATAAGGCACACACACAGTTGTGACCTCTAATTACCACTGCTTCTTTACCTAATCATTTTTAATTTTTTTTTTTCAAATGACGCACGCATTTTCTATACCGAAACGTTTCCAGTTAATGTAGTCTCCATGTATAATTAGAAAATTATGGGGGCCCCATGTGCATCCAGCTGACTACATTAAAGGTAAGTGCTCAGTCACACTGTATCCATTCCTCATTATTTATTACTTTTACTGTACTGTATTTCATTGTAGATTTTTTTTTTTTTTTTTTTTATCTATGTCGGACTTACGACCTGGATTTGGGTCCCTAACCCCGTCGTAAGTCGGGATCTAGTTGTGCCATATATATATATATATATAGTATATATATATATATATATATATATGTTACATATATATATGTTGTATATATATATATATATATATATATATATATATATATATATATATATATATATATATATATATATATATATATATATATATATATATGTAAGTTATATGTATATATATATATATATATATATATATATATATATATATATATATATATATATATATAAGAGTAGTATATATATATATATATATATATATATATATATATATATACATTACCGCCAACGTGTGTTTCATAATTTAACGCGTTTTATCATATACGCGGTGCCTCGCCAGAGCTGAACTTTCACTTAACGCGGAATTTTTCATCATATACGCTGGAAGCGGCGCGGGCACGATGCGCACAAGGTCGCCCAGTCATCAAAACATTACCGAGTTCTTCACCCGCCACCCACCACAGCCGGCCCAAGTCAGTGATAGTGATAATTATAGTGAGGATATGGACTTATATGGCCTTTGAGGGGTTTGACAAAGAGGCCCTGCAAGCCTCTGTGGTGGATAGTGATACAAGTGATACAGGTGAGGGCCAATAATCGCGTTCCCTCTGCTCGAACCAACTCCCCATCCTCGCAGGTGCCTGTTTTCATCTTTCTGCTTCAATGCAAGTGTTAAAACCCAATATTATTGATATTTTACCATTAATTGTGTGTGCATACCATCATGCGTTAAGATACTTTACTACAACATAGTTGTGTGTCACCGTGCGGAGTTTGGGGTCGGGCCAGTCTCTATTGGAATTAACTCATGTTCTGTTGTTCACTTAATCCGATTTTCACTTAACGGGTACCTCTGTGGGTTCAATTGACCGCTAAGCTGCAGTACTACTGTATATATATATAGCATATATATATATATATATATATATATATATATATATATAGCAGTATAGTATATATATATATATATATATATATATATATATATATATATGTTATATATATATATATATATATATATATATATATATATATATATATATATATATATATATATATATGTCCTGCCATGCAAGACAGAGGTTCTTTAGTCACCCTTAAAATATTCATCAGAGGCCTCAATGCAGTGCTGAATCCTCTCCTCCCACTTCTGGAAGCAGATCTGGAAGTCCTTGTTGGTGAGGCTGGAGAACATCTTCTGCGATGTGTCCTGGATCCCCATTCCGTCCATGATCTTCTTCCCTTTGAGGTTCAACTTAAACTTTGGAAACAGCCAGAAGTCACAGGGGGCCCGATCTGGAGAGTATGGAGGGTGGGGGACCACTGGGATGCCATGCTGTTTCCAAAGTTCACATTGAACCTCAAGAGAAGAAGATCATGGATTTCCACATTGAGCTTGAAAATTCAACAATACATTGTACTGACAGCCGGAAACGGAAATGTACTTTTATCACGCAAGTAGCGATAAGCCCTCGGTACTTACCAACAGTGAGTAACAGACGTGACCGACTGCCCAAGCGGCTAACAAATCAATTAGTTGCAAAGACAATGTAAAATAAAATATGACAACTTCTTACTTCAGTGACACAGTGTCTAGCACAGTTCAGGGGGCGATTGTACGCGCCGTGTATGTAATATTATTTTCAGGCACCACAATACAGAAGATGCAAATCACAAATACTGGAGGAGAATAATTTTCACGTGAAATAGGCGTCAAGATGGTGACTATGCCTATGTGGTGATCATGAGAATGCGAAAGAAGGTGATGAGCGGTGATTGTGTCAGGTGATCAAGAAATTTACAATCATAGCGAAAAAAAAACATTGTCGTTGAGTCACATTGTAATAAGGTTTTTTTTTTACTTTACAGAATAGTCATTAAGACAAGAAGAAGAATATTACATAAATAATAAAATTTAGAAAGTACAAACCTTTGTCATTTTACTATCGACATCAATATCTCATACCCTCTTCTCTTTTTCTCCCCAGTATCATCGTCATATGGCGTGGTATCAATGTACAGGTTACCAATGTAAATACAGAAAATTATATTTTCATTACCTTTATTCCTTCCATTACCTACCTAAAAACTAAGATACTCAAAATTTCTGCTTCTAGTTTTAACTCTTCTTGAAAATATACCATCGAAGGCAACTATACCATTCTTAAGTCTATTATATACTGTACAGTCAGAAGCAGTAATTGCTACCTAGTGATCTGACCCACAGCTATTGATGGCAGATATTGACACAAAGCAACATCGCCAGCCACGATAGATCCCAAACTACCCAACAACGTCTAGACAGGGCCTTCACTTGCCATGGCTCTGGCTACTAGAGGGGGTGACAATTACTGCTTCTGACTGTGTATGCTATGAGTTTTTGGACAATGGGGATGTTTTCTTTGTGTTCCCTATTTTTATAATTGCAAGTATAATATTGCAAACCACAAGAATGTTTTACTGTGTACATTGTGAACAATCTGAACATCTAGTATTTACTGTGTATATTGATACATCTAAGCACAGGAGGTATCATTTATTATTCTTATACAATGTTTTAAGAAAGCAGTTCTTCCGGCCACCATTGACGACAGCAAAGCTCAGATAATCAGAAAAGTAGGCAGGAGTTCACCTAGAAGGATCAGAAATGAGGAAAAGTTGCTTGAAGTTCAAGTATGTTGTCCAAGCAGCAGCAAAAGTAGCTGCAGGAACATTTAGTAGATGCCTATGTCAGCGCAGCCACGGAAAGTCTCCTGAGGTCCGCAGCCCATGTCCTCCGTGCCGTTACCACAGTCGCCCCATGTATTACCTGTGGGAGTGAGTATTTGTTATTTATCTGTCCACTTCTACTCTAAGCATTAATGTTAGATGAGTTTATATATAATTTGTTCAATAATACACTTATAGTTACCTGTATGGTAGTGCCACTGAAGAACACACTGGGTGCACACCACATCATCTGGCAACTTCACGACGGTGCTGTGCCACTCAGGGTCCTGAAGTGGGTTTAGTGTTTGACGACTTAATGATTTATATATTAATACATTTAATGTAGTTTCATCTAAGATGCTTTACTTTTTTATCAAATAATTAATTACTCAAAGAATGGACGTTGAAAGCATGTTCCATTGGCATTAATGAAAGTACTGTGTTCAAGAAATAACCGAGTAATTATTATGCCAAGACACACCCTGCCCCTCCCTCCACACACAGAGTGAGTCAGAGGTCTGAGCCATAACTCACATCTTTGTAAATGTAATATTTGGTGCCGGAGCCGTCAGCGTGCTCAAGGAGGTGCTCGTCCAGACACTCCTGTTTGATGATCTTGGTGACGTCGTTGTTGACACACAGACTGAATTCGAAGAAACCCAAGTGGTTAGTGGTGAGATCTACCTGAATCTCCAGTTCCTGTGGAGGGATAGTGGATGAGAGAGGAGGAAGGAAAATTAATAGAGGACAATATATTAAACATAGCTTATTCAATATTTTTTGCCCCAATTTGTGTTTCTTCCCCCCAGGTGCTTATTACCTGCCCCCTGGTGTAGTTGGCAACGATGACACCTTTGCCATATGTTCCACCAGCCTCGTTGTCCCTGGGCTGGGGGTCGGCCCAATTGTCGCCACACACCCCACACTTGCCGTCGTTCTGGTTCCACTGTACCTGTGTGTGAAGGAGTGGGCACACTAAGTGTCAATATAAAAGCAGCAAGATTCTGACCTCAACATAAATTAGCAATCTTTGTTTTTTAATAACGAGCTATAAGGATGGAACCCTCAAATACGTAAAGCCATTATTCCATTATTACACCAAAAAACTATTGTTAAATTTGAAACCATCAATCCTCACTCTCTTCAGAAATGAAACAAACGAGGGGTCAAAACTACATACTGTAATTACATTTTACTTGTCAACCATTGCCAATTACAGTACTGCATTTAGTTGAAGTTTGCACTTACACCAAAGCCGCCACAAAACAGCTCGTTGTCATTGTAGTTGACTGGAGTGTCGAAGCCCTTCCTCCAGGCGGACGATCGACCTACTGGCTCCATCAGCCGCCCGTGGCCATCTCCCCGACTTGCCGCCCACAACAGCACCACACCCACACTCAAAACCCAAATGCAGCAGCCCACGCGCATCACGACTAACTGGAGGAAATTTATAGGTACAAATCTGATCTAGTTCAGTAGCAAGCAGTGCCCATATTTATACTAATGGATGAGCGTAAGTAAGGTCACTTTATCAGTCGTTTGGGCAAGGCAGGCTGCGTGGTTACGGTGAGGCATCTGGTGGGTCCCACAGCGAGGACGACGTGGCGCTTATCTTGTGATACTCGGTAACCAATCCACGTTAACTGAGATTTACTTACAGCTTTCTGAAGGGTCTTCAATAAGGTTCATGGTACCTTAGTATTAATATTGTACATCATCAATATTAGATAACACAAGCTAATTCATTATCATCACCTCAGTGTGACAATAAGAATGTTCAAAGAGGAAGTTGGAAAGGTGGATTGAAATTCAAGGGTGGCATCAGAAGAAGAAAGAGCATTTCATTTATATCAATAAAATGAAGTTCGTTGTCTGAGTTATGAAGTGCTTTATGACATCGTAGGGAGGAGGTCACGTGTTGTGGTTCCAGCTAGTGTTTCCTCCTTACCCCGGAATACAGAGCCTCCTTCATCCTCCCACAGATCCTTATCACTGTAGTTCATCCTGGACATGGACAAGGGAGATACACACCGCCGCCCTCTGGCACATTTGGACTAAAATCTAGTATAACCATGCAGTTGCACTCAGTAGTAAAACTCAGCTGGTTCACTATATTTCGAAATCTAAGAGGATGTAGGCTATACCTCTCCATCGTCAGGCAACATGGAAGGTTAGGCTCCAGGTGAAGGTTGTTAGTGTGCAAGTTGACTCATGAAGACTTGGTGGCCAGTATCCATATATACAGGTCAAAGGAATGCGTTACGATGACGGATATGAGGCAACAAGCTTATCTAATATTTTTTAGCATCTGTTATGTTTTCAATACTTACGGCCCTCATTTACCACCGTGTTTTTTCATACCAAATCAAGACAAAGGCTGCAGTTTTTTGTTTATATATATATATATATATATATATATATATATATATATATATATATATATATATATATATATATATATATATATATATATCATTAGCATCTTATAATTTCTTTTCTTGTGTTTAAACAGGCATGCAAATCTTGACTAGGTTCCAAATAATACTGTATTAACTACAACCTCTCAATCTCTCATGCTATAAACTGATGCTGACTGCGAGACACGATTGAGAGGCTCCACCATGCCCAAACACAGTAAACATTTATGGGTTGTGAACTTTTGGAATAATATGCCAGAGAGCGTTAGGACAGCACCGAGTGTGAGCTAGTGAGACCAGATTGGACCAACATTGGCGCAGGTACAGACACATTTTGGAACCAGTGCATGCCCAGCATTTGCCAACAGTGCGTAACAGAGACGTGGCTGACCGTCCAAGCGGCTAACTTTTACTTTTACTTTTATCCTCTTCGCCACTGATCGGCTTGTTAGCCGCTTGGGCAATCGGTCACGACTCTTTTCCTTTATATTCTTCACCAAAAGGTCGGCTCGCTAGCCGCCCGGGCGATCGGTCACGTCTCTGTCACGCACTGTTGGCAAATACTGGGCATGCACCGGCTCCTGAATGTACCTGAACCCGCTCCAGTGTTGGTCAAGTCTTCTCTTGAAAGAGCTCACACTCGGTGCCGTCACAACACTTTCTGGTAGATTGTTCCAAGAGTTTACAACCCTCACTCCGAAAAAGTTTGCCCTCACGGTTTTCCGGACTTGCGGCTTCTTCAATCTTGAGCTGTGACCCCTTGTGGGGCGAGCGTCCGCCAGCTCCAAGTAAGGACACTCAACTGAGTAGTGCCCCCTGAGATGCTTATAAACCTCAACTAGGTCCCCCCTTGCCCGTCTGTAGTATAAGCTAGGCAAGTTCAGGCGCTCCAATCTCGCAGGGTAGCTGAGATGCCGAAGTGCAGGCACCAGCTTGGTGGCCCTCCTTTGAACATTTTCAACCAACTGACAGTCCCTAGCATATCTCGGGGACCAGATGGGGTGACAGTACTCCAGATGGGGAAGCACTTCACTCCTGAAGATCGTCACGAGGGACGGACCGTCTAGATATCTGAACGACCTTCTTATAAGACCCAATAATTTATTTGCCTGATTTACCTTCTTCTCACAATGGCCCGAGAACTTCAGCTCATTGTCAACATACACACCTAGGTCCTTCTCACACACAGTCTCAACTAGTACATTTTCTTCATCCCGTTGGGACATATGGTACGCCTCCTTACCGTTGGTACGCCCCAGGTGCATCCTCTTACACTTCGTGACATTGAATCTCAGCAGCCATTCCTTCGACCATTCCTGGAGCCCACAGAGGTCCTTCTGCAGCTCTTCACAGTCCGCTTGGTTCTTAATTTCCCGAAATAACTTGGCGTCATCGGCAAACATTTGTATGGAGGAGTGTACAACGTCAGGCATATCATTTATGAAACAAACAAACAACAGCGGGCCCAATACACTACCCTGCGGTACCCCACTTGTTACAGGTACAGATGACGATTTCGTGCCATTAATCACCACACATTGCTTGCGGTCATGTAGAAAGTCTTCTATCCACGCTAGGACATTTCCCCGAATTCCGTACCCTTCCAGTTTGATTTTCAGCCTTTCGTGGGGTACACTGTCGAAAGCCTTGGCAAAATCTAGGTAAATATTGTCGATATTACCACCCCGTTCTAGAATATGGGTCCAAATATCCAATACCTTGAGCAATTGTGTCAAGCAAGAGCGCCCCGGCATAAAACCGTGTTGGCAATCTTTTACAAGGTTGTTTCGTAGTAGATGTTCCATCGCTGCATCTCTGATAATACTCTCAAGTACTTTACATATTATGCTGGTCAGGCTCACCGGTCTATAGTTGTTCGTGGAGTGCCTATCGCCCTTCTTGAAGATAGGACTCACATAAGCCACTTTCCATTCACTGGGGACCATTTGTTCATCCAGGCATTTACAAAACAGAATCTTCAGGGGCTCTGCAAGCTCGTTGCACAGCTCCCTTAGCACTCTAGGATGCACCATGTCAGGTGCAGAGGATAAAGTAAAGTAGGAAAGCACATTTGTTCACCTGCATATTTTTTTCAACGAATCATGCGTCCCCTTCCTCTCTTCACTTTTTGCATAAAATACCTGTACCTCGACTTGGACACAGCTCATCCACTTGTCTATGATCGAGTCTTCAGATCAGACCGTGAATTAAAAACTGTTGTCTAGTTATCTCTTGAAGACACTCCCATGCTGCCTGTTAGGTTCCCATCACCATGTTTCTCATTAGGGACACACTGTGCACGCCGTCACCGAGGGCGCTTGCATATCTTCAACACTAACGGGGCGAGTCTTGGTGCCGTGTGCACTCATTATAGCCATCATGCCTCTTGATGTTGACGAAAAGTTCCTCGTAAAATTTTGTTTGCCACTTAGTCGCTGGCATTGTCTGGGCTTATTGAACTGAGCCCAAACCCCTGGCAATTAATCCCTTTTTTCACTGCAAGGATCCCAATATGTGACGGCAAACCTTCAGTCTTATGCACACGACACTACCATGTTGTACTATGGACATAGAGAAAGCACTCGTTGAATGGTGACCTTGGATACTGTATACTAGTATAGTACGTGGAAAGTAATTGAAGGCAATCATGAACTTTTTATGATAGATATAATGTGTGTGTGGAAGCAATTCGAGACATGAAAGAGAGAATGAATCACCGTGAACTGCAACACGATAGAGTGACATATTTCCTTAGTGTTTTGTTTTGTTTTAGACGCATTAACTACTGGGGCTATTCACGACGATCACTGTACTTATGTTAAAGGTTGTTACATCTATTGTATGTGGATGATTCTGGACTGTTCCTAGAGTTCGGGAGAAGTGGTGGGTGAATGTTGATATATTCTGATGAAGGTTACAGAAGAATTTTCAGTGTAAATACTAAGAAGAGAGTTGTATTATTTGAACAGCTGTAGGGAAGCAATTAAAAATGGACATAAAAAATTAACGCTAATAACATGATCTTGGCTCAGATTTTAGATTTGCCCCAGAGGGGCTAGTTTATTGGGCACCCCCTTACATCCTGTGCAAGGTGAAGTGCAGAAGCGTTTACAGCGCCCATCTGGGAAGTATGCAAAGTTCATACTTGCCTTTATGACACGTGCATTAAGGGCGTAAAAGCCAGAAGGGTCATAAGTTTTGTCAAGTTACATAGAGTGACAGAATGATGAGTGTGTGGGGGAAAGTTTCCGGTACATTTCATCTGTTTATAGCAAAGCGTGGCAGGTCCCTAATAATGTCAAGTGCCAGGCCTGTCACTAGGAGGAGGGATATCTGGTCAGGGAGGAAAGAGGTGTTGGTAACGGCTGGGGACCTGTAGGAGGAGGTCATAGGGCAAGTGAGGATGTAGTGAGAGAGGGTGAGAGTCGGATTGGCCAATTGGTTCAGATTATATCTACCTAGTCTTGAGCCTACTTTCAACTTTCAGATTTAGTTATTTATACCACAAATTACCTTCATGAGGAGGAGATGAATATCTCATTTTGGGTAGAAAATAAATGCTCAACACTTCCAACATCTCTGTGAATCCAGAGTTCATGAGGCGCCTCTGGTTCCTCACTCGTTTCCAAGTAGGCCTACTCCGGACACTAAAGATAACAAAGAATAGCGGTACTATTATAAATAAATAAATTAATTAATAAATAGTTTCCACTACATACAGCAACATATAATCACACACTACTGTTGAATCAGCGCAATTAACATTGTGCCTGTAACTGCAGATGATTTACATATGAAATATATGCCAATATCCGTTGTAATCGTATTTTACAAGCTATCCGTTGTTTGTCTATGGAATAACACAGTCTTCTATTATATCATTCCAGAAAACTGTCAAAAGGTATAGTAGAAAAGACGGAAGTCAGAACTTCCGACTTCCGTACGCAGAAGTGATGCAGTGTTGCCAAGTGACGTAAATACCATAAGGCTTTGAGCTTTGGTACGGGGATTATATTCTAGGTTAGTACATACCTTATTATTCAACAATATAAAATTGTGATGGTGAATGGGGAAATGATTATATTATGTGCAGTACAAACTACTGACCAAATAGTTACTGGGTTGCTTTTGTTTTTGACAATAGTGCCTCAACCAATCACAAAGTTGATCTCCTCAGTGTTGCCACACTTTATCCCTGTTTTTCGTACCACAACCTCATTATTTTTTTAATGGGAGTGAAGGAAGGTGTATTTTCCTGCTTTGACTTTGCAACACAATCTGACGTTTTATTCGTGATATTAATGACAATCTAAACACGGTGAGTGTTATGGATATCATTACTGAATCTCTGGTGTTGAATATATCACAGACAGTGATAATAAGGATATTGATGAAACATGTTCAAGGACGAAATTGAAGCACCTGTGGGGTTCAGGGTGTTTGGTTCACACTCAGGATGGGGTAGAGAAAGGAAACTCACAATGTGCTCTCTATATACATGTTGTACTGGATGTACAATGCAGCTTGGTGCTGGGAAGGCAGCATGGTTACAAGCGTGATGTAGAGAGAGCTGGTTTGTGAGGATGCTCAGAGAAGGACAGCTTGTGGGTCGCCATGCTCGCCGGCGGGAGAGAGTACCGCCAGGCAGCGGCGGAGGAGGAGGAGGTGTTGCTGGCTGCGGCTGTAGGTAGAAAGAGACAGGTCACCACGAGGTCAGGTCATAAATAGCGGGGGTAGGCGTGGCTTAGTAGTTGACCCCCGCTCCGTGATGTATGGCGGCGCTGGTTGACCTAGACCACGAGGCATACACTGGGGAATTGGTGGGGTCGGCTAGGCAGCGACAAACAGCGTTTGTAGGGGAGAATTCCACTACACACCCTACCACTAGTTTGCCTAACCTTGGTCCCGCTGTGACATCCCCCAGGAAATATTTCTTCGGGCACGGCATATGTTAGATATGTAGCTACTGTACCTGCTACACAGGGATGTGGGAGAACTTTTGCTGGCAACTGTACAACATTGAAAGTTTAAAGGGCTATTTTTTTTCCTCAAAAAAGAATCACATCTTTGGAGTCAGCATACAAATCTACATTATAATTTTTTTTTTATACGGTACATGAAACCGAAAAAAACCCAATTCGCTGCTGAATGCGTTTGTCAGTGACCCTTTTTATGTTTTACTTACTGTATATCCTCTTCACCACTGATCGGCTGGTTAGTCGCTTGGGCGGTCGGTCACATCTCTGTTACGCACTGTTGGCAAGTGGACATGAACTTGTTTCTGAATATATCGGAACCTGCTCCAGTGTTGGTCAAGTCTGGTCTTTAAAGATCTTACACTCGGTGCCGTCACAACACTCTGACTGAGAAGTGCTCTCTGAGATGTTTATAAACTACAATTAGGATCACCGTCTGTAATATAAGTTAGGCAGTTGCAGTCGTTCTAATCTCTCTGGGTAGGTGAGGTGCCGTACAGCAGGCACCAGTCGAATATATCTTTATGACAATTTTCGCAAAAGAAAGGGGAACGAAAAAAATAATGTCCTTCAGCACTTTCCCTCACCATTACTCGGGAAACTCTGGGGTTGACAGTCGGATAGTAAACTTAAGGTTGTTATTTAAACCCTTATTCCTTTGAACGATATTACTGCGGCTCGGGTAAACCTGTTCTTCAGATGTCGTTCCATGAAGGTGCTACTGGGGGAGAGAATTACTGTTGTAGATTTGATGCATGTATGAGTATTTTCCACTTCTTTTGCTGTATCTGTAGTGACTGAAAGACGTGGTGTTAAAGTGAACGAGAATGAAAATTACTTCTGAGTCCTGACTCCCTAGTTATCAGGACCAAGGACTTCAAACAGTATATTAACCCTTGATCAGGACCACTATATAGGGGCATTACCCGGTGTACGATCTTTGCTGGTTCTGAACACGGCTATAGATAACTGCTATCACCTTGTTGTAAATTGACTCCACAATTAGACAGAACTGTGTAGCAATTAATTAGAATATCGGATAAGTTGTTGAACTTTGATAACATTAGTGTCGGACATCCAAGAAAATAAATCAGAAAATTCAGAACAGCCATGAGAGCGCAGAAGACAATAGATGATTAAGTTTGATAAAATAGTTATGGTATGTATTCCAAGTGTTATGTGCAGGTTACTAGTTCTTACTCGTGTACTCAGTTTCAGCACCACCATTGTTATCATTTCACCTAATTCTGACTCTATTGTTGTTCACCAACATATTAATGAATCCAAGAGGGGGGAATCTGCCCCCCCTCCCCCCAATGGCCCAGATACGTATGTCTTTTCTACAATGAAAGTTAACATCTTACTTTCTACCTCTCACACACACACACGTCAGGGATAGTGGTTGGTGCCCTTTCTCTGATAAATTTCGAGATCCGGTACTACTCCACATGTTACTTTGAAGATATTTCTGCATTTTTCTTGTTATATGCAGTTTATTTTTACCAAAAAAGGATTTTGAAAGCTAAAGTCAGAGACGAATGATACACTTTAATGGGTCTTATGATAACAGGGTTGTTTTTATTCATTTATTTGACCAGGAAGGTTGATAGATACTCATAAGGAAGTCTGGAGAAAGTGTCCATCTTGAAGAATCACGTTACAAACACATGAAAATAATGTATTTTTAAGAGATCAGGTGCCAATATAAAATGAACAAAGTTAATCAAGAATGATGAGTTAACAGCCAAAGTCGAGAAAGCTCCACCTTGAAGATACAAAACACCAAAAAAATAATAATTTCTAGAAATTCAGCGAGACATCAAATGTGATGCATAATGACAGAGGACGGTATATTAATTAGTTTTAATATGCTGCTGTGCTTTAGCAACTAAGGTTAACCTAGGTTGGTACATACATTTAACATTAAGAATTAAGATAGTAACAAGTGATTAACGTCCATTTACGGGGTCCTGATATCACTAAGAATCATTAGATGACTTTATGGTGATGAATCAACAAATAATAATACATTAATATCGATAAAAGTCAATTTACGGTGTGTTGATATCACTGTAGGACACAAGGAAAGCTTCTAGTAAATGCCGATATCAGCACAGGCGCGGTATGTGGTCTGGGGCCCACAGCCGAGTGCCTGGGTGCCGTTACCGCAGTCGCCCCAGTTGTTACCTGTGGGTGTTAAGTCATGTTAACTTTTGATTCAACCTTCGGAGCATCATTTATAAATTAGCCAACTTACTGTGAATAAATACTGCTCTAGAATTTTATTTTGGCAATTATTGATCATCCATGCAGCTTAATTTGCAGGGTTCGTGGTTCTTGCGATACCATGAATTTTGCAGCTAGTTTTGTGAGCATGTAATCTCTCTTTAGCGTTCTATATTATAAACTAGCTGGGGTACCTCTGCGTTGCCCCTCCCCCTTTTAGGTGTAGATTATAGCCTATGCCCGAGACTATACTACATCAACTACATTGTCACTTTCAGGTGGTGGTCGGCTACCCACCTCCTCCCTCCAAAATTTAATTTTCGGGACACTTATGGGGTCCATGTACATCTACCTGTCAAATTTCAGGATTTTATATTAAAAACTGTAACCATAGATAACACACACACACACACACACACACACACACTGTACTTTATTTGTATAAGGATAAAATCTGGGTTCCCAATTCTACCACAGTGAGTTCCAGTTTGATTCTGTTGTTGGTCAGACACGTGTACTAGGCTAGCTTCTTTGTATAGTATAGAGGTCCCATAAAAAGTTGTAGGTGTGTCACCTGTATAGTAGTGCCACTGGAGAACACACTGGGAGCACACCACGTCATCTGGCAGCTTCACGGTGGTGTTGTGCCAAGGCTGGTCCTGGAATTATTTAAAAATAGTTCAATATTCTGCCATGTAGATGACCTTAAAAACAGTTGGGTTGTGGTTATAGGCAGGAAGCCTCAGAAAGCTGTGGCGACTATCAGGGGGCACCTCAAAGCTCACCGACGAAGGTAAAATCTGTAATAACCCATATAATTATATCATACCTGGATGATCGTCATACTCGACTCCGAGTGACAGCAAAGTAGTAGTAGTAGTATATAATAATAGTAGTAGTAGTAGTAGTAGCATATAATAGTAGTAGTAGTAGTAGTAGTAGTAGTATATAGTAGTAGTAGTAGTAGTTTAAGAAACGCCGTCATTCCAGAAGAATTGATAAGCCGATGTCCATTGCTTTTCAGTAAATGGGAGCTGCTGTTGAGACTAGAGGAGTGAATAAAACTGTCTCTGTGAAGGTTGCTCGCCTCTGCCTCGACTTACATCTGGTTGAATGTAGAGTCTGGTGCCGGAGCCGTCAGCGTGCTCGAGGAGGTGCTCGTCTAGACACTCCTGTGTGATGATCTTGGTGACGTCGTTGTTGACACACAGACGGAATTCAAAGTAACCCAGGTTGTTGGAGGTGAGGTCCACGTAGATGATCATATCCTGAGACCGAAGGTGATACAGTGGTGAGAGAAAGCAATTTAGGAAAGACTACTATTGGTTAGACATATTTTATTTAGTGGATTTTTTTTAAAAAGTGACAATAATACCAATAGTTAAAGATAATAATTTGGCCATAAAACAACAAGAATATCTCGAGACACAAGCAGACAGAGAGACACACACGAATGTATTTTAGGAAAGTTCGGGAACGTTCCTCATTATTTTTTTTTTTAAACTCGCTCGTGTTTCCTGTGTACGTAAACATCACTGTGTCTGCCCTAATGTTTCCTGCCGCTCTCTTGACCCATTTACCTCACTCCTTTTTCGTCCTTACCTGTGCCCTGGTGTAGTTGGCGACGATGTAGCCTATAGTGAAGGCGCCACCAGCCTCGTTGTCCCTGGGCTGGGGGTCGGCCCAGTTGTCGCCACATACTCCACACTTGCCGTCGTTCTGGTTCCACTGCACCTGTGTGGAGGGTGTTAACACTAATACACAATGATGATAAACTCATTCACTGATTTTGCTTGGTTCTCCTGAGAAGCTAAAGTAAGCATGGGGGTCCTCATGTTCCTAGTGTGGAAGTTGCTGTTGAAGCTGTGTGTCTTCCGATAGAATAACATAATGTTGTGTTGTAGATTGTTTGCAAAATGCAAAGGAAAGTTGTATTACTTTTACTACTGCCAGTGGTTTTTGGTAGCTTAAAAAAGAGCCTTGTCATAGCCGTTTTAATTTTACAACGTTCTGAGTGGAAGACGCATCAGGACAATTCATTGCAAGAACTAGTTAGTTGTCTTTAACCTAATTTCCATATACTGTGCCTCATAAAGTGAGTCGAGGTGATACTTACTGCGAGGCCGCCACAGTCGATATGGTTGTCGTTGTAGTTGACTGGTGTAGGGAAGCCCATCCTCCACGCTGATGAGCGAGAGGCAGGCTTTAGCAGCCGCCCATGACCGTCCCCCCCGTTTGCCGCCCACAGCACCACCACACTCAACATCCACACGCACTTACCCATGCTCGTCACGGTCGGCCGAAGGCTCTTAAGCCTTGAAAGAATCTAATCTAGTCCACCGGTAAACAGTGCCGTTATATACAGTATATACATACAATGGCGGAGGAACACAAGCAAGGTCACTCACCCTCCCAGTTGGCAGGAAGGCAGTGAGGTGATGTCGGAGCACTTGGGGACAGCTGGTGAGTCTCAGGTAGTGAGAACAACCTACATTCACTAATCACACGGTGTTCAGTAAACATCCGAGCTGTCAGAACCACGATGACTAAAATTTACTCCGTGTTGCCATCTTCTCACATAAGGTTCGTAATGCTGACGCGTTTGTGGTGCGCCTCAACCAAGTTAACCTCCGCGAACTGCCGGTGTATCTCTTCGCTACAGAAAAAGTTAACCACTTCTATGGGAAGGGGCAGGATAGGGGGAAGGCCACGCGCGGGAAAATGTAAATAGAGATAAGCGAATACTGGAGTTTATTTGAGGTTTAAATCGTCAAAAAGCAAAGAGTTTGGGCTTGAGGCTTACAGAAGGGCTGAGGATGCCAATGTAAGACGGGTTGTAAGTACCAACTGTGAGCTCCTTACGTCCATTCTTGACCAACATTGGGACATGTTCAGATACGTTCACGAGCCCCTGCACAGCTACCTACCCAGTAGTACATATCAGAAAACTGAGCGAACACTCTACCGGCTGGTCAGCTGTCGAGTGGTGAAGAGGCTAAAATAGTATAGCCGAGAACTATGACTATGTTCCACTGGGGGTGGAGAGGGAGCCTTTACTTTATCTGTGTCGCTGACCGGGGCTCCACCAACCCACACAACGCCCGACCGTCAGCATAACCTTTATTCTTGTGGTGTTTTGTTAGCGTACTCAAGTAGTAATGGCATAAGCAATGTTGGGAAATAAATACAATTAGAATTTGCTTTGTAATTGGATAAGAGGATGGTGGTCGTTAAAGGTTGCATACGTGTAAGAGTTCAGTAGCGGGAAAACTGTAAGAATGAGATGGCGGTACAGTGTTACGCGATGAAGAAAAGGAAGAAAAATCAACTGTTTCATAAGTATTCAGACCATACGAGAGGGAGACATGTGTCGTTTCTCACCCTGGCTCTCATAATGATTACTGTCCGTGTATTTTTCTCAATGGGAAATAAACTAAACCTGAAGTGCATGTGAAGGAGCCATACTGTCACGTGTTTGGTAACGAGTTAAACAAAAATACAGGGTTGTTTTTAGCCATTGTTATCGCGTCCTTCATGCGTGGGAGTGAGAAACACAACAGTGGGTATTCGAATCTGATAACAAGAGAAGGGCTGCATTTATTTCCATCATGACATATTTAGTCTACACACACGCATACATACATACATACATACATACATACATACATACATACATACATACATACATACCCCACACACACACACACACACACACATTAGGTATAAAATGTAATTAAAATGGTACACGACAGAGCTAGCAAATTTTAATATTTTTGTTTATTTATCACAAGTTCATACAAATAAGCTGACGCAGAGACGACTGTAGTGAGAGGTCAATAAGAACACCAGACATATAGACACGACCTTAACAATGATTTCTAAAAGTTCACAGATTTCCTATAAGCCGTCAGCAGTATCACAGACGGAGAAGAGTAAAGTGTACCATACATGACTGTCAAATTGATCTTGGGAGTTTACATAACGTTGAAAAGTATGGATAAAAACTGAGCCACTCGTTACAATCCTGCTTCACATGAATCACACTTAATAGTTAATTACAATGATAAACTAAAAGTACAAAAAATCTCTTGAATAACCTTTGTTAATAATAGTTAAAATACACATGATATTTGAGTTCAATTTGGTCATTGAATGAATAAACTTCTATCTTTGACGCAACATATAGACGAACACAACATAACACTGACAGTGAAAAATGTAACTGTAGCTAATCCTGTCATAGCAAAGATATACATTATATTTCCTTTAATAGATCAACTTTGAATGTTTTTTTTTTCTTTTAGAGATAAAAATATATAGAATTAAATTTAGTGAGTCGGTAAGTGTGATGTATTAAAGATTTAAAGTGCATATGGCACTCCTTCCCCTCCAGTAGGTAACACCAATGATGGCACAAAAACATTATACTGACCAAAAAGAACAGTGATAAACTTTGTATCTACCCAAGCAGCTTCCTCGTGACGCCACAGCAGCTACAGTAGGTGCAGAAGAACATTTAATTACATAATGTGAACTATAGGGTCGAGAATTAGTCGAAAACGAACCAGTCAGAGTAATTACGGAAAATAAACTAATTTAACTCGGAGATAGTCGATGAACTAACAGAATGGACACAGACCAGCCACACCAAGAGCACTGGAACAATGCTGACCTTCGACCCGGACATACTAACTTAACCACAGGCCGATTTAACAACTAACAAGTGAACCGTTCATCAGGTGTGGTTAAAGTTGTATGTGCTACATTAATTTCGATTACGGTACCCAGCTGGTAAACTTGTAAAATGCATATCATGATACAAAAAAAATTTAATTGTTGTATCTCGAGAATATCTGAACAGGTGGCAAACATTGATGAAGTTTAAGTGACGGACTTTTTCTCTCCTCTGGTTATACTGACAAGCAATTTAAACTTCTATAGACATCAGTGATATTCTCTCTCCGTTATGTTACATCACGGAGAGAGTAATTCCGTCAGTCGGCCCTTGGGAGGCGTCTTTGGGTTAGTCTACAGGTGGTGCAGAGGTTGGACGCTGGAGTCCTCGAAGGTGATCCTGGGCGCTGGTGTGAGAGGCCGCGTGTCAGAGCGGAAGAGCGGCTCGTCCACATTGAGACGTAGACTCAGATGAGTATCGGTGGGCGTGGCGTGGGCGTGTGGGGTGATGATGGGTTTTGGATTAAGGTCTGGGTGCTGTGCCGGAACATGATGGGAGACGACTGAGTGTTCTTCTGTTGTGATGAAGGAAGCAGAGTCATCATGTACAGGTTGGGAGTGAATGTTGATAGACTTCCCTGCTGAGGGGTGAGTGTGTGAGACTTTAAGAGACTGGGGATGAGGCGCATCTACAGAGTCTGTCTCGTGGTCTTCAGCAAGTATGAAGGACACTGGAGTATTGTGCTGGGTAGAGAGGCGGTTTATCTCGTAGTCGTAGACAGGCTTAGACGTTCTGCTTCCCTCGTACACCTCTTGTGTTGTGTGAGCGACCCGATGAGAAGGTTGAGGTGGAGGGAATACAGGTTTGAAAACATCTGGTTCAGCTGAGAGCTGCGTTAGCTCGTAAGACGGCTGAAATAATACCCGGGTGAAGCCATTGGTACGCCTGGAGGGCTTAAAGACAGTGGTTGTCTTATAATCAGGTCTTATTCCTTGACGACTCGGGGCTGGGGAGTCTGAGTACACTACGACATCGTGAGGTGAATACTCTGCCTCTTCTCCGTGTTCACCTTCTAGAGGTCTATAATCTGCTTCCTCGAAGTGGTACGCGGGGGCAGAGGTGGTGTGGTAAGGGGGCTCGGGTGTGGATTCGTACACCGCCTCAGAGGTCGAATAAAAAATGGAATTGGGCGTAGTATGGTAGAGGGGGTCCTGCGTGGAATAGTGCACCGGTTTAGGAGTTACGTCATAAACAGGTTTAGGAGTGGAATGATAAACTGGCCGAGGTGTAGAGTGATAGACAGGCTTGGATGTAGTATGGTAAACTGTCTTGGACGTAGTGTGGTGTACAGCCTTGGGTGTAGAATGGTACACTGGCTTGGAAGTTGTGCGGTACACTGACTTGGGTGTGGAGTGGTAAACTGGCCCAGTAGTTGAGGTGTACACGGGCCCGGGTGTGGAGTGGTACAGAGGCTTGGGTGTGGTGTAGTAGTCCGGCTGGGGTTCTGGGTGGTGGGGTTCTCTGTCGTACAGAACCTCAGCGTGAAATCCATCCTCGTCAGCGTGGTATATTACTGTCTGTAACCGACCGTCAGGAAGCTGAACCTGCCAAAGGGAGTCATAAAGAATGTAAGTCAGTCATACAGAGATCAACTATGTCTTATACAATGACACCAAACCAAATCACATTGTTCAGTGGCAAATGAGTGTGTGTGTGTGTGTGTGTGTGTGTGTGTGTGTGTGTGTGTGTGTGGTTTAGACCAACTGAACCTTGATTAATATAACTCATGATCTTGACCCTGATAATTGATGGATTTGACCTAGACGAAGACTACCTGGTACTGTCCCTTGGTCCCTGTAGCGTCACTTGACTCATGCCTGGAGTACTCGGTGCCGTGGTAGGTGTCCTTCACGCTGTACTGAAACTCCGACGACTTCTTTGACTCCTGCGGGAAGGAAAAGAACTGGAGTATTAGTGGTAGCCGTTTTTGAAAGGAAAAATGGGTAAACGTTTACTTGTGGGATACATCTGAGTGTGCAAGAATGGCGAGCAGCCCCACTGAGAATCACCAATTACACTTCAATCAATAAAATTGTGGAGTTAAGTAATTGTTTTCACGTCAATAAAAGTGAGTTTTGCTCCTTCATGCATAGCGTGACAGTAGCATCAGGTAGCGAACTGCGTGATCAAACACTTAATCCTGAAGGTGTTGACCGAGAAAGACGACAAATTGAGAGGTAAAAAGAACGACTGAATAAGTTGGTTTGTAAGGTGTTTGTTGGCGCTGTGACTTATAGTTGAGAGAGAATATTGATTCAGGTTATGAACTCCATGTGAGAATTATGAGCTGTTAACCACAACAAAATACTGACAACACATCCGTCGACCCTCGGGCTTTAAGGGAAGATTGAGAACGTTTGTATTTTGTTCTATACATTTACACACTATACTGGAAACTTACCTCATATACGGGTTGTTCGTGGTACTGTGGTGGTGGTGGTGGAGGAGTGTGATGAGCTGCTGGGGTGGAGTAGTACAGTTTACGGGGGTAGGTGGAATGGTGGGGTATGGGGTCATAGGCGTAGTAAGGGTCATGTGGGGCAGTCAGATGGTCGGCCTTCACCTGCGTCGCCACCACCGCCAGGGTTATCTGTAGCCCAGGTCACGGGAGGATAATATGGACATAATGAATAAGCGCTTACGTGTGGAAAAGGTTGAGAAAAAATGTATAGAAATTGAATTATTAAAGGTATGAAAACTTGAAAAGACCATGACAAATACTGAGAATAGTATGAGAGACCAGTTATGCATAAATTATTATTCTTAAAAAAACATTGAAACATATAAGAACTCAATGATATTACATAATATGACGTGATGACCTCAAGAGCCTGTGTGTACTGCGATCTCTGTCTCCCTTACGTCAGTCTCTCGTTACTTGAGCAACTATCATCGTCGAATACTTGAGAATTTTAAGTAGTTATCATTGGCGGTAACTTTTATTCTAGTTGTGACATTAACAATATCTAGGGAGTGTGGAGGTGTGCAGCAGGTGGTTGCGTCATAATCTTGAGGGTAGTTGTATCTCGCTCAGTGTGTGCGTGTCGGCGGGTATTACGAGAAGTTGTTACTGTGTAACAATACGTATAATTTACACCCATTTTAGTTTGTGTGTGTGTGTAATAGAATATAATATTCACCTAAGAACACACTATCGAAAAAGAATCCAGAGCTAACGTGACTTTTTGAGGGGAATAAAATTCCCGTGTTTGAGGAAGTGAAGGTAGCAGCAGATCTTGCCCAACAGAGGAACAAAGCGATCATACACTCCATCCGCTGCACTGAAAGGTGGGAGGTTGACCCGTCGCACACACCCAAGCAAAGACAATGTACAGGAACCCTAGCTAACAGCCATGAAGGCGGAAGTAGCAGTAGTTGGGAGCAATGATGGCTAGTTTGAACAACTTGTTGACACGCCAGGCGGATTTCATTCAGAGGGCCCGAGGAATAGAACACTTGTTCCTCGTTCACGTTATGTCAACTTCCTGTTTGCTTATTGCTCCTGTTAATGTGACAACCTGCCTTAGTATTAAAGATGAATGTGAGACAAGCAGTTTCTCGCAGCTGCTCCGTTTTTACATGTGGAGAGTTGTCTTCATCACTAACACAAACTTATGCTCTTCATTCCACAAAATCTCACAATAAAATATGTTAGAAAAAAAAGCACTACAACAATACAAAGCAAATAAAAGCACAACTAAGTACATTTAATGGTAAAACAATAGAGGTCGTTACGATTATAAGATTGATTGAAAACATGATATTTCCATGAACACTCAGACGAGGCAGCGCAACACAGTCAATTTCCAACTCTTGTGAAGGAATAGTTATGATGTGTTTACAATGAAGAATGTATCGTAGGGGAAGGAGGGAGGCGGAGGACATTCATGTCCCCTATTTTCTTGAACGTTTGATTTCCTCTCATAAAACCTGTCCTAAGAATAGATATTTACCTCAATCGATATATTTTAAGCTATTGTACCATCTACGACCACTGTCTAGTTAAAAATGGGTTCCGTAGGCCTGATAGCTGGTTGTAGGCAGTGTGGATACAGCACACTAGACTAAACCTTTTTTCTTTACACAGGCAGCTGTGTGGTCGACACATTATTCTACCGTCTTCACTGCCCCATCAATAATATTAGGTACCCATGCACAGCTGTACGGAAGATATGCCGATGACTAGTGCTTAAAATGTAAACGAACATTCCGTATTACAGAATGGATGTAGAGTCCTTGGAAGGAGTTCAGAGGAGAATGACAAGACTAATCCCGGGCATTAGGAACCTTGAGTGTAGAGACGGGTTAAAGCATCTTAATTTGCACTCCCTTGAGAGACGTAGAGCGAGGGGCGACCTGATAGAGGTGTATAAGTGGAAGGCAGGGCTAAACAAAGGGGACATTACAAAGGTACTCAAACTATCCAACCAGGAGCGAACTCGTAACAATGGTTTAAATTAGACAAATTTAGATTTAGGCGTGAAATAGGTAAACACTGGTTTGGAAACAGAGTAGTGGATGAATGGAACAAGTTACCAAATATCATCATTAACTCGAATACGCTGAATTGCTTCAAACATAGGTTGGATGCTCATATGAGCAATAGGGGTTGGGTGTAAACGGGACTGCCCAGTATGGGCCAATAGACCCGCTGCAGTTTCCTCCATTCTTATGTTCTTATGTTCTTATGAGGAACAAGTTATGAAAAGATCACAAGTAAAAAAAGCCGGATATGAAAATAGGGTCGTGGCTATAGTTGATTCATAGATGAAAGCAAACAACACTTTATAAAAATAAACAACAAATGGTATACGTCTTATATAAAGCAAATTCAAATAACGAATGATTTACGCAGATGAAAACAAATGGAATCTGATTTATATTAAAGTGTAATCAAACTAATAGAGATTTATTTGCAGGCGAAAAAAAAAGACAGACGCTTTCTCTGGAAATGTCGAGGAGCCGACGAGGGAAATAATGGAAGGAGTAATTGATAGGTACCCCGCTAAAAGAGAAAGTTAAGAGGAGCAACATGTAGATTCAGGGGGATGAAAGGTGCTCATAATGCACCTGGATTGCTCAATTTGTGTCACCTTTGATCTCATGTTGCGCGCTTTGTGTCTATTCTTGTGTTTGTGTTCCGGTTCTCAGGTGTTCTTACATACTATTTTCCCCGTGAAGATAATGTAGATGTGAAAACTCATCTTATCTACCGATGAAAATATTCATGGCCAAAATGGGAATGAAATTGTATCGAAGGAGATTTTACGAAAATCCGAAATGTACCTTTCTTGCATGTCAATTGCTTTCGTTTACTTTTGTTTTTTTTTGTAATTGAGACTGAATGTGAAAAGGACCTAGGTGTGTATGTTGACAAGGAGCTGAAGCTCTCGGGCCATTGCGAGAAGGTGAATCAGGCAACTAAATTGTTAGGTCTTATAAGAAGGTCGTTCAGTGCGAGTGACCCCGTTACCCGTCTGTTCCCCAAGATATGCAATATATATATATATATATATATATATATATATATATATATATATATATATATATATATATATATATATATATATATATATATATATATATATATATATATATATATATATATATATATATATATATATATATATATATATATATATATATATATATATATATATATATATATATATATATATATATATATATATATATATATATATATATATATATATATATATATAATATTATTAATCGTATTTTGAATGCGTGGTGTTTTATTGTGCTTGTATTTTATGTTTGGGTGTATGGTGTTTTAAGTGTTTGTTTACTTATCCACGGTATTTTTTTTTAATTCGTTCGGGTGTATGGTGGTGGTGTGTAATAATGAGGTCATGTGTGTGGTTCTGCATTGTCTGTATGGGTGAAAACGTTTTGAGGTGTTTGTGAGAGACGTGACCGACCGCCCAAGCGGCTAACGAGCCGATCAGTGGTGAAGAGGATAACAGTACAAGTATATACATTATGTTAGTATTTATGTGTAACAGTATTTGGCACTAATATTTGTCTGATGAGTGTACTGCGTTTTCAGTAGACTTTTCCATTTCACCGTCGATGTAAGAACGTATCTGACTCTATACAAGAACTCAAGTATGGTGGCCCTAATCACGCCAAAATGTAGTCTTCCAAAATACTAGTACTGTACGTTCTCTCACATCAAGTTCGGATAGATATATTATAATGATTTTACTCCGCTTCAACAACCAAGGTCTTTAAACTTGTAACAAGGTTAGTAATTAACTAGTTCATCAACAATTAAAAAAATGTGAGATAGAACTCTCGAAGAGACATAATTAACGTTCAAAATACTTTACAATCCCAATGAGACAGAACGTTCATTTTCTGTCATTCTGAGACGCGATTTGGGAAGGTAAACTTAGATATATTGCTTCCCTGTCATTATTGATACAGGAAATGAGGCTATTGAAGATTTATTCCATCACTTATCCCATTACACTTAAACGACTTGCCAATTAAGGTGGGAAGCTTTTGTCCGTGAGATAAGTTCCCCACGATCCAGGTGACCTCTGACCTGTCAGGGAGTCAACCCCACAAGGTCGCCCACACCCAGCCCTTCAGCATCCTCATAACTAACAAAAGTAATTACATGAGACAAAAATAGCTACATCTGACGTAAGATAACTACATATGATAAAGATTACAGCGGACTAATATGACTACAACTGCCTGACAAATTCCTGAAGCCTTCTGCCAGAATATATGTGAGTAAGGTCGGCTAATCCCCGTAATAATACACAATTCACAAATATAAACACTTAATTAAAGTAAACAGTCGACAAGTGTAAACACATCTGATGAAAAATATCAACAAAGATGAAAAACGTTAAAAACAGCACACGAATGTAAACACTGCTGACAAAAGTAAACAAAGTTGACGCAGGTATAAATACAGCAAGAAAATGAAAAGCTGACAAGGGTAAGCAAATCCTTGCCCAATTGAATCCATCAGCATTCGTATATATATATAAACTCGTATGCCAGTTTTCAGCGGATTTTCACGTCACTAGATACCAAGTCGATCTTTGCACTCGTTGAAGTCCGATAGCACGTCATCACCAGGGCCCAGATTTTCACATTTTTGCACATACACGGGCACGAACAGTAGCACAGAAAATTGTCTTCATGTGTGTTTGATAATAGGGATAACAATTACATGGATTCTAAAATGTAGTATAAATAATAAGAGGGAGAAAATGATGGAATGAGAGAGAGGGGAACATATAGTAGGAGAGATAGAAAAATTTATGAAATAAGAGAAAAAGAACGAATGAAAAAACTCGTAAGTGACACTGCTAAATAGAGATATATTGGTGCACAGTTTATACAGTAAGAGTGAAATAGAGAAGAGAGAGAGAGTGTGAGAGAGACTCACCTGCAGGAGAACCATGGCTGGAAGTGAAGGATCCCCTGGGGCCTCAGCCTTATATACCTACACCCTCTGACTGGTCCACCTGACCCCTTCCCACCTGTGTCATCCTCTCTCTTACCTCTATTTCGTTGCATTTTTTGGTTAACGTTTCGGGCGTCGCAGTAACCATCTTCAGAACAAGCTATGGAAAAAGAAACAGCAAAGTACAGACAAACGAAAAACAAATATGCAGTAAATATTCTAGAGAAGTTGAATTACGAAGTTATTTGCACCTTTGATAACATGCATTGAATAATTCTAATAATATACATCATGCTTAACATTTAATTAAACCTGATACGAACTAAAACCGAGCAGAACAGATGACCTGCTTCAACGAATTATGGATGCTGACATTTTTGATAGGGTTACTCATTCAATGTTATAATGAACTAGAATGCGTATCCCTCCAAACAAAAGGCGGC